GGGGACTAAAGCCTTACTATTAGGATAAACTGCACCATCTAATTACAGTGGATTTGTTTGGGAAAATGAGTGTAAAAGTAGCCTGAAATGGTAAAACAAGGCATAAATACTCTTCATAAAACAACTCTCAATAAATCTAGTGTGAAAACCACACATGATGGCTTTCTCACTAAATATTGGAATCAAAATGTTAATTTTTGTTAGTGGAGACCCAGCATTTTCAGTTTCATAAACCAGGAAGAAAGGTGTTCACCTAAGACACTGTAAAATCCTCTCTCCTTCGGCTGTTTTGAAAAATACCAGACCAGAGTTTCAACCTTGTTAAAATCACCCTTATCTTGATCTAACTGCTAACATTAATACTGAAATAGTTAACATGGAGAACAAAGCAAAATCTAAAAATTAAGCCTCCCTTTTCCCAATCCTAAATTTAATTAAAAAGTCTTAGTTCATCTTACTTTGGGGCGGCGAGTGGTTGGCGTCCTCCAGATCACTGTGTGAACAGCAAATTTGAGAACTTTGTGCATAGCAAGTCAGGTGCTAAGTTAGTGCATGCTGGGATTTGTAGTTTAGTTTCCCAGGGTTTTTAAAAAAAGTGTCTCACATTCATATACTTATGTTTACATGCTGCCATCTAGTGGAGCTAAGGTACAACTGCTAACTCCAAGTTGAAAAGGAGAAGCACCTTACAGCTTTGGATGTGGAAGTCATTTACTCATTAACCTAAGACCCTGTTGTTTGTGCCTACTAGATGCTGTTCTGGCGTATTCAAGATTGAGTGAGTCAGAAACTGCAAGTGGAAGACAGTAGAGCAACAAAACAGAAGGAACCCTAGTCATTTAAGATAGTGGAGCCTTCCTTACAGGCTCTTAATCAATATTGTTTTGAGGGAAATAAATATTCTTACGTTTAAGTATAGTTATGGTTATTTTGTCACAGTCTATTCTAGCACTAATATTTGAACTGTTGTGCAAATTGACTGTTGAACACAGGCATAGGAGACACTGACCCCAGTCATCTTGCTAATGGGTTTCAGCCTAGGGCAAGTTCGCTATGGATTCAATGTGACCAAAGAAATTGACAGCAAAACGTTCTTGGGGTGAAAGGGTTATACCCAACTGTATTTCCAGGTGGCAGGTCAGTCACTAGAATCCCATTCACTCAGAGCGAGTCTGCATGCGGCAAGCCTGTCTCTGCCTCTAGGTGCCTCTGTCTGCACAGCCGTCCTCTGGGCCTCTGTTCTTGGCACTGCTACCACTCCAGCCTCTGCTCTGCTCTCCTGCAGCCTTGTAGCCCTGCCACCGTGTTACGCCCAGAGCACTGGGCAGAGCTCTTGAGTCAACAGCCATGTATTGCCCACAGGTGTGCAGTGAGCTAGTCAACCAGGGCCAGGTGAGAATCCTGGCCACAGGAACTCTCATTTTATCCACACCAGTGTAGTAAAAAAAGCTGCATATAACTTTCTATTCCCCTACAACTTAATAGCCTATTGTTGACCAGAGCCTTACCAATAACATAAACCATCAATTAACACACATTTATGTTAATATGTATTACATACTGTATTCTTACAATAAAGGAAGCTAGAGAAAAGAGAATGTTCTTTAAATTGCTGAAAAGCTCCAAAACATTTTCCAATATATTTATTGAGAAAATCCACGTACAAGTGGAACAGGTCAAACCAGTGTTGTTCCAGAGTCAGCTGTACATACATGGTGGCAGAATGCAGGCTTCCTGACTACCCAGAGGGGCAGTGTCCGGGAACATGTTGAGCCTCAGTGCTGGTGTGGAGGCTTGAATGAGGGTATTGGGTAAGAGCAAAAAACCAAGTCTGACTGAAGAGAACAGATTCAAGACTGAATAGGAAGGAAAGATCATGTGGCCCTCTGCGCTAGGCTAGTAACTCATACTTTACCAGGTGCGTCACTGAACAGAGCAATTGTGTAGGCTTTTCTGCACACTTGATATTTAAGTTTGTCCACTCAATACCCAAACAACTCACTTTCCCCTGCCTTTTACTTGAAAGGCTAGAAAACAACTCTCAAACTCCTAGGTTCCTTTGCTGCTAGAGTTCACCAATAACTGTAAACGGGAATTTCTAAGGAGTGCTTCCTTCTTGAAAAGAAAGGCCTCTCTGAAAGGCTTTTGGCTTTTGTTTCTTCTCTTTTTGCCTGGGATGCTAATATGATGCCTTATTTTTTGCCTGGAATGCTAATATGATGCCTTGGGACACAGCAGCCATTTTGTGATCTGGTGTGAGGTCAGAAGTACATATTAAGTACAGAGTAGGGTAAAGAGGAGAAACCTGATTTCTTGAAGACAGCCTTAATTAAGACAACAGTCCTAGATTAATTCCTCTGCTCTGGACTTAATGCAAGAAAAATAAACTTTGCATCACTGTTGTCCAGAAAAACAGACCTAACATGGGGTCACTTTTGCTAGGCCAAGTCACCAAACTGGGTATTAATACCTAACTTAATTGCAGTTTCAACCTCCCCTGAACACATAGTCAGACATTCTCTGGTCAGCAGCAGTAACACAATGTCACAGGAGTCCACTCCATGCCCTGAAGGAATCCACCTAACAAGACCCTTTTGTCCCCAGTGCAGGTGACTTCACCCAGAATAATTCTTTTTTTCTGTTTATGACTTCCTTATTCTGCCTTTAAAAGCCTCTCCCTTTCTGTAGCCCTTTGGAGCATCTCTCCACTTTAGGGAGGAATGCTACCCAATTCATGAATCTCTAAATAGTCAATTAGATCTTCTAATTTACTTGGATGAATTTTGCTTTTTACGTGTATTTGTAAAAAGTCACAGTGGTTAAGAACAAAGACTATGGAGTCAGAAAGATGAAGGTAAGTTCCGTATCTTTCACTAGCTAAGTGAGAAGGTCACTTAACTTTTCAAACCTGTTTTGTTATCTGTGAGATGGAGGTAACCATAGCACCTGTCTCAGGGAAGTTGTAGGGGAGAGGACTCGGCGGGAAAACCGTCAGCACAAAATTTGTTACATTTGTACTTAATAAATGTTAGTGATTATTAGAAATTCAACTGTAATAGATGGCAAAAATTGCCTTTTTTTTTAAAACCCTGCCCTAATTTTCTGCATGTGTCCCCACAAAGTTTTTGGTAAAACAGTCCCTTAGTTGCCTTAGTGCAGCTTTTAGTGCTGGGTATAATGAGTTGTAATCAGCCCCAGCTGTATTCCTTGCTTTAAGAACAAGTCCTTTGACTTTTGAGGATTTTGAAATAGAATTTTTATGAAAATGAGAGTTATCTGGTTGAGGATAAATCCTATACTTCTTCCTTAATGCAGCTTTCTTCAGCCTCCCTTGTTCCATTGATCTAACAACAACGTTTACTTTAGAACAGCCTAAGTCCACGGTACTGCAAATATTTGTTCACCCATCTGTATTCAGTGGGCTAAATTTCTTCAAGGCTAGGTAGGACTGGGTCTTTTTTATTGTTACATTGTGATCAGCACATATTAAAAGCATGTGAGTTATTTGCTTTCCAACTACGATATTAGTTCCACAAAGGCTGTGTGTGTGTGCCTTTTGGTGCTTACACCAGTGATTGGCACATAAAAGATGGTCATTAAATATTGCTGAGCATGAATGGCAGCCTCTCAGTAAGTTTCCTGAATAAATTCTGCCAGAAATGTTTCTTATATCATTAACATACTTTGTCTTTTCTGGTCCTGAATTTATTTTTCAGACTGTTTTAGTGCTGTCTGACCATATTACTGCTTTCTAAAATTCTTGCAAGATTTATTGCTGATTTTTTACCACTGTCCTTTCACAATCATTCATCACAATATTGAAACTCAGATCATAAGAGTTAAGCAACATCCTGAGGGGAGACATCAGCAAGATGGGGAGATAGGAAGTCCCAGCAACACTCCCACCCACCACAACCCGGCTTAACAGTATTTGCACCAGAATACCTTCAGAACATCAGAAATCAGTTAAGAAGTTGCAGTGCTCTAGCAGAGAACAAAGCTGGGAACAGCTGAACCGAAATGGGTAAGAAGGGCTGTTTCACTTTACCTGCCACCCCTGCCTCACCCCAAGCTAGCACAGCTTAGCCCCTGCTTCCTGGTTTCCCCAGGGGGTGGGCAGGGAGCAGCGGGAGGGGGAAGAATGGAAAATTTATCCAAAGTTTCTCTGGAGGGCTCTCTCTGGAGGGCTGCCCGAGAGACTGAGTTCTGTCTCACTGATGTGGGGCTGATGGAACTGCAGAGCCTGGCTGGTATCACTCGGTACAATCAGAAGGTATCTGACTCACAGCTTCATTCTCGGGGCGGGAGAGAGGAGTAGAGTATGTGTTTGGGGTCCAGTCTTTTGGAGGGCTGCTGGAAACTGGTCTCTGTCTCGTCTGACTTAGCGTGCTGACAGGGAGCTGATATACTTTGGATACCTGGGGCCAAGGAGAACAAAGGAGAGTGGGGTAGCTTCCAGCTGCAGTGCCATAGAACTGCAGTACTGCCTGCGGATACTAGACAGAGGAAGAGATTACAAGCTTCTGGAAAAGAAACTGGTAAACCTCTCTAGTTGGCAAATTACATAAGCCCAGAGAAGTCATATCCCCTAAAAAGATTTCAGAGGCTCCCAGAAGCTCTAACTGGCTGGTTGATGAAGGTCTCCCTGTGTGAAGAAGTCTGTAAAGATTGGAAGAGGCAGATCATTTTTCAAATCCATAGAACTCAGTAAAAAGTCAGAAGGCACAAAAAAAACCCCAGATGTTGACCAATCAAAGGAGCAAAATAAATCTTTAGAAACCAACTCCTAAGAAATAGCGATCTATGAATTACCTCATAAAGATTTAAAAATAACATTGCAAAGAAGCTCAATGATCTATCTACAAGAGAGTGCAGACAACTAAATCACACAGGAAAACCATGCACGAACCAAATGAAAATATTAACAAAGAGAAAGAAACTATAAAAAAGAACTAAACAAATTCTGGAGCTGAAGAATACAATAACTGCATTGAAAACTTCACTAGAGGGGTCCAACAGCAGACTTGATCAAGCAGAAGAATCAGCAAAACTGACGAAGGGTCATTTGAAATTATCCAGTTAGACAAGCAAAAAGAAAAAAGGATACAAAAAGTGAAGCAAGCCTCCTTATGGAACGTCAGCAAGTGGACAAATATATGCATCATGGGACTCCCAGAAGAAGAGAGAAAGGGACATTTTATTTGAAGAAACAAACTTCCCAAATCTGAGGAAGGAAATGGACTTCCAAATTCAGTATTTAAGCAACATTCTACTGGATTCGATATATATTGCGGACTGATTATATTTTTAATGGCCTTAGTTTTATTATCCAGGTGACCTCACTACCTTCCATTAGTTTTATTCAGTGGAGCTGACATTGTAAAGAATCAAACCTGCAGCTCTGTTACAGTGTTTCGTTTGGGTAAGGGTGAAAAGGAGAAATAAGACTCTCAAGGGACAGGCTTTGGGAAGAGGATTATAGTAAGGGCCACTTTCCCCTTAGCTCTAGTGAGTTCCTGTAACAGTATATTAAGTAAGGTAAGAGAAAATACCCAATCCACAGACTTCAAAATGATAGCTATTATGCAAATAATAATCTGTGCCTTTGAACGAATCTTCTTAACAGGGATGCCTGGAAATCTAACACTGTTGTAAACCTTATGCAACTTGCTCTTTCATGTTCTTTTTCAAGAGATATGACATAAGAGTAATACTGGATATAGTCTCTACACCACTGTTCTTAACCTCTTCTAGGGCCACAGATTCCTCTGAAAATGTGATGCAAGCAAGCATGGACCCAAGTATCCTGGAAAAATGAACCTGCACACAAAATTTAGCATAAAATTTCAGGTTTGACAGAATACATGAAGCCCATACATAGATGCCTAGTTATCTGCAGGAACCCCCAGGTTTAGAAAACTTCACTTTCATGGGAACTCTTGGCTGTTTCCTCATGTTTAAAATAAAGGATAGAATAAATAAATAATCTATGAGGTCCTTCCAGTTGGGAGTGAAGTGCAATGGAGGAAAAAGTCTAAACCAACCAATTTATAGTGCTTGTATAGGGAGTGGGGTGGGTGGATGACAGAAACGTGAGAAGTAACTTTTGTAGTGATTAAGACTAGGAAGCAAAGTGGTCAGCACTTGCTCTCTCTCAACATAAATCCAGACAATATGTATATTTTCATAGCAAATTCTGAAAGCCAACAAACATGAGAGGAGAGCCAAATATACTCCAAGCACCCCACCAAGAAACCATAATTAATATGCACAGAGTTGTGATTCACAACTACTATTTAAACATTTATTGAATGTTTGAGGTACTAAATATTGTATAATTTCATTAATTAAATGATAGATTATATTAATTTATGTATTATGCTTTGGAATTATCTAAGTTAGATATGTGAATAACTTTACATTAATACTAATGTATACATTTTATGTATACATGGAAAGACTGGAATTTCCTTCAATAACTTTTTGTTTTTTATAAAATGTATAAATAAATAAAATAATTCAACTTCTAAGGTATTAATGCATTCATGAATAAGGTGTTGCTATCACCACTCTAAATTACTGGAATGCATTAATCTCTTTTTCCTTCATCTTCCAATTCTAGTGGCAAAGTGAAAACTGAACTGAAATTAAGTTGGGCTGTGACATCATTGCCAGGGATAGACACACACAGAGTAATCAATATGGTAAATTTCCAAACAAGGAATGCGGGCCCCAGGAAGAACAATAGAAGACAAGTCTACTGAGTCTTGCATTCAGGCACATCTTTTGTGGAGGAGGTATACCAAGAACTGGGCTGAGCAGTCATACTCTCTGCTCCAGCAGTTTGTTCTTCTGAGAAAAGAAAAGAAAAGAAAAGAAAAGAAAAGAAAAGAAAAACAGTAATTAGTCTTTAAAAAAAAAATACACAAAACACAAATACAGCTGGAAGTGGGAGGGATGTTTAGATAGCAGAGATATGCAGCACAAAAAATAGCAATGTGGTCATTTATGTCTCCATGTTTGGCCATTAAAAAGGTGTATTTCATTTCATCAGAGTTGGGGAAGTTTATTCCCCATTTTCTCATAAAACCAGTTGTTAGAAAAACCACATTGTGCATAAAACCAAGTAATAAAGTCTTATTTGGAATTCATCAATTTGAGATTCAAAGTAAATCAAACCTGAATTGAGTTTGATTTTCTTTTGCCCTATTTTTAGAAAAAAAATGCTGTGTTCAACAAATACATATTTTAGAGAATATTGAGTCATCTTTGGAAAACTGAATATCTAGAAAGTACTTCAACTGCATCTATTTCTTTATAAATATTCATGTTCAAATTCTTGCATTCATAAAAGAAAACCTAGCAAAACTGGTTGTGGCAATTAAGCTGGTGAGATTATTTAGATTACCTTTTATAATTAAAATAAAAACTTACATTAAAATTTTTTAATTAAAACTTTCTTACAAATTTTTTGATATTTTACTAAGTCAAGCTGGAACTGTTCTTTAATTCTGAATTGGCCACTTTTTGATTTAAATATTCCTCCAGCCTCCTTTTAAAAATTTATTTCACTTAAAAATTGTGCCAGAGAGATCCATATATTCATGAAAAGATTTAAGCATTTTTATTTGTGATTGGATTAAGTCATACTATACAAGTGCCTTTGGCACTAACAGATAAAAATCAAAAAGGTGATGACAGAAGTTTCTCAGGTTTTTAACTCTTCTAAAATTGTGTGTATGCAGCAAAAGCTCCTTAAATGTTTATTACATACTATTCAATAACGTGAATAGTTCAAAAATGTTTTACAAATCGTTTTGAGCCTTACTGTATCCCTAAGAGTACTTTACAAACTGCCAACTTGATCTGTTTTTGATGTGGATTTGATGAGAATGGCCTCATGTTTTCTCTGTCAAAAGGAGAGCTCTCATAAGCCCTGCGAACCTTTGATCAGAACTTTAAATAATTGGCAACTGCCTTTCTTAGTGTACAGTTTTGTTGCTTTAGATTTCTACAACTGCATGTGATAGGGTATTTCTGACAGGCAGGTACACCATCACAAAGGGCTCTGACCATGCACACCTGAGCGTATGATAAATGCTCAGTGGTGAGAACGAATATGAGAAACCCAGTATTCCAGAACCCCTCCTGCAGAGCTCCCCCATGGGGGGGGTGCTTCCTGACACTGCCCCCCTCCATCCTTGCATCCCTGAGATGAATCCCACTTAATTATGGTGTATGATCCTCTTGATGTATTTTTGAATTCGGTTTGCTAATATTTTGTTGAGTATTTTTGGGTCTATGTTCATCAGGGCTTTTGGTCTGTAATTTTCTTTTTTGGTGGGGTCTTTGCCTGGTTTTGGTATTAGAGTGATGCTAGCTTCACAGAATGAGTTTGGAAGTATTCCCTCCTCTTCTATTTTTTGGAAAACTTCAAGGAGAATGGGTATTATGACTTCTCTCTTATGTCTGATAAAATGCAGTGGTGAATCCATCTGGCCAGGAGTTTTGCTCTTGGGTAGTTTTTTGATTACCGTTTCAATTTTGTTGCTGGTAATTGGTCTGTTTAGATTTTCTGTTTCTTCCTTGGTCAGTCTTGGAAGGTTGTATTTTTCTAGGAAGTTGTACATTTCTTCTAGGTTTTCCAGCTTGTTAGCATATAGATTTTCATAGTATTCTCTAATGATTCTTTGTATTTCTGTGGGGTCAATCGTGACTTTTCCTTTCTCATTTCTGATTCTGTTTATGTGTGTAGATTCTCTTTTTACTCTTAATAAGTCTGGCTAGGGGCTTATCTATTTTGTTTATTTTCTCAAAGAACCAGCTCTTGGTTTTGTTGATTTTTTCTATTACTTTATTTTTCTCAATTTTACTTATTTCTTCTCTGATCTTTATTATGTCCATCCTTCTGCTGACTTTGGGCCTCATTTGTTCTTTTTCCAGTTTCAATAATTGTGACTTTAGACTATTCATTTGGGATTGTTCTTCCTTCTTTAAATAGGCCTGGATATTGCTATATACTTTGCTCTTTGAACTGCCTTTCTGTGTCCCGCAGAAGTTGGGGCATTGTGCTGTTGTTGTCATTTGTTTCTAGTTTTATAGCTTCGTGATCTGAGAAGTTGGTTGGTAGAATTACAATCTTTTTGAATTTACTAGGCTCTTTTTGTGGCCTAGTATGTGGTCTATTCGGGAAAATGTTCCATGTGCACTTGAGAAGAATGTGTATCCTGCTGCTTTTGGGTGAAGAGTTCTGTAGATGTCTATTAGGTACATCTGTTCTAGTGTGTTGTTCAGTGCCTCTGTGTCCTTACTTATTTTCTGTCTGGTTGATCTGTCTTTTGGAGTGAGTGGTGTGTTGAAGTCTCCTAAAATGAATGTATTGCATTCTATTTCCTCCTTCAGTTCTGTTAGTATTTGTTTCACAAATGCTGGTGCTCCTGTGTTGGGTGCATATATATTTATAATGGTTATATCCTCTTGTTGGACTGAGCCTTTATCATTATGTAATATCCTTCTTTATCTCTTGTTACTTCCTTTGTTTTGTAGTCTATTTTGTCTGATACTAGTACTGCAACACCTGCTTTTTTCTCCCTGTTGTTTGCATGAAATATCTTTTTCCATCCCACGACTTTTAGTCCGTGCATGTCTTTGGGTTTTTGGTGCATTTCTTGTAAGCAGCATATAGATGGGTCTTGCTTTTTTATCCATTCTATTACTCTGTGTCTTTTGATTGGTGCATTCAGTCCATTTACATTTGGGGTGACTACTGAAAGATATGTACTTATTGCCATTGCAGGCTTTAGATTCGTGGTTACCAAAGGTTGAAGGGTAGCTTCTTTACTATCTGTCTAACTTGACATGCTTATTAAGCTATTATAAACACAGTCTGATGACTCTTTATGTCTCTCCCTTCTAATTCTTCCTCCTCCACTCTTTATATGTTAGCTGTTTTATTCTGTACTCTTTTGTGTGTCCTTTGACTGCTTTTTTGGATAGTTGATTTTATTTTTTGCCTTTAGTTAGCATTTGGTTGGTCTGCTTTCTTTGCTGTGATATTATTTTCTCTGGTGACATCTATTTAGCCTTAGGAGTGCTTCCATCTAGAGCAGTCCCTTTAAAATATTCTGTTGAGGTGGTTTGTGGGATGCAAATTCCCTCAACTTTTGCTTATCTGGAAATTGTTCAATTCCTCCTTCAAATTTAAATGATAATCGTGCTGGATACAGTATTCTTGGTTCAAGGCCCTTCTGTTTCATTGCATTAAGTATACCATGCTGTTCTCTTCTGGCCTGCAAGGTTTCTGTTGAGAAGTCTGATGATAGCCTGATGGGTTTTCCTTTGTAGGTGATCTTTTTTCTCTCTCTGGCTGCCTTTAATACTCTGTCTTTGTTTTTGATCTTTGCTATTTTAACTATTATATGTCTTGGTGTTGTCCTCCTTGGGTCCCTTATGTTGGGAGATCTGTGGGCTTCCATGGTCTGAGAAACTGTTTCCTTCCCCAGCTTGGGGAAGTTTTCAGCAATTATTTCTTCAAAGACACTTTCTATCCCTTCTTCTCTCTTCTTCTTCTGGTACCTTTATAAAGCAAATATTGTTCCATCTGGATTGGTCATACAGTTCTCTTAATTAAATTCTTTCATTCCTAGAGATCCTTTTCTCTCTCTCTGCCTCATCTTCTCTGTATTCCTGTTCTCTGATTTCTATTCCATTAACAGTCTGTTGCACCTTGTCCAGTCTGCTCTTAACACCTTCTATTGATTGTTTCATTTCTGTTATCTCCCTCTGGATTTCATCGCTTAGCTATTGCATATTTCTCTGCAAGTCCATCAGCATGGTTATGACTTTTATTTTGAATTCTTTTTCAGGAAGATTGGTTATATTTATCTCACCAGGCCATCTCTCTGGAGTTGTCTGAGTCATTTTTGACTAGACCAGATACTTCTGCCTTTTCATGGCGAATTGGTAGCAGGCAGGTGGTGCATGTGTCAGCTGGGAGAACAAAGTCCCTTCCTACTTGCTGGTTGCCTTGCCCTTCTCCGCTGCCTGTGTCGATTAACCGCACATAGGGAGCAGTCTCTGGGATAATCTCCTGAGCTGCCATGGGCAGGGCAGCCCTCGGGACAGCCTAGGGCTCTGTGGGGGAGTTGCAGACATACCGGGTGTGTTCTCCTGCAAGAATGGCACCCCTTTATGCCTTCTGGACCTTGCTCTGGCTTCCTCTGTCTGTACCGGACAGTTGTGCATTGGTGGCAGCCTCTGGGTCTTCCCTGGTTAGCTGCGTGCTGGGAGGAGACTCTGTGTGGTTGCTGTGGGTGGGGCTGTTCTCCGGCTGCTCTCCAGCTGTGGCAGGTGAGCCAGTTTGCTTGCCGTGCCGGCCGGGGGGAATGAATGGCAGGCTGCTTTTCGTAGTGAGGGACTTCGGGGCTGTGTTACTCCTCAGGGGGTCAGAGCGCCTGAAGTGCCTTAAGATTCCCAGCCTGTTGAGCTGAGTGTGCTGGGACGATTTTGTCCAGCTGTTAAGCCCTTGTCCCTTTAAGACTTTTAAAAAGCGCCTGTTCTTCTTTTGTCCCAGGGGTGCAGGCTGTGGGGACCTGCTCACAGTCTCCGTCTAGGATTTTACTTTTCCATTTCTCTAATATCCAGTACACCATGCAATGTGTGTCTGTGCTCCTGGTGCAGATTACTAGGGCTGGTTATTTAGCAGTCCTGTGCTTCCACTCCCTCCCCACTCTGATTCTTTTCCTCCTGTTGGTGAGCTGGGGTCGGGGGAGTGCTCGGGTCCTGCCGGGTCACGGCTTTGTATCTTACCCTTTTTGTGAGATGCTGAGTTCTTGTAGATGTAGATGTAGCCTGGCTGTTGTACTGTATTTGCTGGTCTCTCTTTTAGGAATAGTTGTATTTGTTGCATTTTCAAAAATATGTATGGTTTTGGGAGGAGATTTCTGCCGCCATATTCACATTGCCATCTTGAGCCCCTCCTCCCAGTTTATTTCTTACTTTATCTACATGCTGTTCTTTCTCTTCTTCCAGCCCTTTAATTAAGTAACTTTGTAACCAGGACAGGAGACAGATCTCTGAAGTGTAAATAAACCTATGTGGATAAAGAATACTGAGATACAGGCCAACAGTCACCTAAATAACCCTATTCTTAAGACAAAACTTCAAAGAAATTATAAATTACCTGTATACATCATGCCTTATGCTGACTATCAAAAAAGCTGTATAAGACCCCAGACACTGAACCCTTACATGTGCCCTCTCTCTGAGTTGCCCACATTCCCCTTTCTTTACTCTTTTTGTTCTCCTCCAGATAGGCAGGGAGGGCCTACTGAGAGCTCTAATTTGGGCTTGCAAGTTTCTGTTGCCTGGAGGACCCTGAGAGGACTCAAGCTGAGCAATTGAGTTCCTTAGTAGCCTGCCTGAAAATCTCCTTTCTTTGCTTTGAGAAGTTCTCAGAACATAATCTCACTCCATCCAGTGCTCTGTGGCTCCCCCAAATCCTGGGGTAGTAGGGCTCAGTTCCCACGGCATGCAGATTCAAGCAGATAGTGGATGCCAGGTGACCCTGGCTCTAAGAGTTGGCAAGGGACCTGCTCAACGCCAAGCAGGAGTTCGATGCGCTTCCCTTTCTTGCCTTCGTCTACCTTGACTGTGGTCTGCCCCTCCCTTGGAGTGTATTCAAATAACTTCCATTCTGCTTTGCTACTGTGTCTCTTCCTTTCAATTTTTTGTTGCAGCGGGGACAAGAACTGAGGAGAATAAACTTCACCCCTAACAATTTAGGGTAAAAAGTGATTCCACTTCAGTGCTGTGCTTTGGAGAAACTTTCTCATACACGGATAGCAAATGAAAGCTGTGCACTACAGCTTGCTCAACTATATATTCTTGTCTAAACTTGCTTTTTGGGGCCACAAATTAAAGATAAGTTCTAACCTTTATCCCCCCATTTCCAAATAATCAGTATATTTACTTACCTGGGCAAAGGCCTAAACCGGAGTTATCAAAATAGCGAACTGGATGAGGTGCTGGTAAGGACTTTGATCGGCTATCAAAAAACCAAGATTTTGGTGACTCCTTTGGTACAGGGTCTTGTAAATTCCGTTCTTTGCATTGAGAAGACTCATATTGTCTCTTTTTAGAAGCTGTTCCAGTCACTTTAGGAGACTTTGGAGAATTCTCAGAAGTTACTTCTTTGTAAGCCTCTCTTTTAAGGGTTCTCTCCTTCCACATTTGGACCTCACTGGAAAGATGATGATTATTGCTTAAATGTGGAGGGGGAAAAAAAGACTGTAAGACTGCTCAACTCATGAAATGTATTCACATTTACATATAACAATTTTAAGTTGTGGTAAAATATAATTTACTATTTTATCATACTTATATTTTAATTTCACCCTAATGCTTCTTGTTTGGAGTAGTTTCACAGATCAGAAAATTAAAGGAGGTCAATATAAATTGAATAATTGTAGTAAATCTCCATGGAGTCTTGAAAACAATGCTTACAATGTGACGTTTTCAAATGAATGAGATATCATCCAGCTGGCTTACCTATTGACAAATTGTGTCAATAATTTAATAAGTTGGTCTTCTAGATAGATGAACCCTTAATGTTCTTTTGTTATTTTAAAAGATTTATATCATGCTTTCCTGGATTAGTCTTGTTTCTTACAAGAAATGCTACCAGCACATACCTAGTTCCTTCAGAGAGAAACCTGGTAAGCAATCCTACAGGCCCTGCTCCTCTCTATCTTATTAGCCAGCCAAGGCTTTTGATAAAAACCTCTTATCTCAAATTTATCTCCTTATTTTTATCTCCATTGGTGCCATTCGAGTCCATGCCAGACTGTCTTTTGCCTGGATTACAACAAACAGATCCCTAAACTGGGTTCCCCTACACTGTTCTAGCAGCCAGAGATGCAGTCTGATCTCATCAGTGCTGGCTTAAAATCCTCCACTGGAGGTAACCACTACATTTAGAATACAACCAAACTTCCTCAGAATAACCTCTAAGGGCCTGTGTAATCAGGAGTACTCACCTCTGGCATCTCATTTTCTACCTTACTCTGTCTAAATCTCTATGTCCTGGACATACAGGATGTCTTTCAGTTTCACCAACTGGTTATTCTTCCTGATGGGCTCAAAACCTGTGCACATGTTGTTCCCTCTGCCTAGGCCTACTTGTCTCCCCTTTCATCTGGCCTAACTTCTACCCATTTTTCAGATCTACTTTTATATATTAGTTTTTTCATAATGACCCCTCCCATACATCTAGACAAGGTTTGCTCACTGTGTTATACTTTTTCATAGTATCCTATTTTTTATTTACTTTGTTTAATAATGCTCATTGTAAAGAATTATTTGTATAGTTATTTGTTTAATGTATATTTTCTTCTATTATAGAGTGCTTATCATTAGTAGAGTGCTTAGCACATGATTCTAATCTTTGGTAGAAGCCAAATAAATTGGTTAGAACTGTTTATACAGTAAAAGTAAACAGACTACCATAATGGACTGAAGGGTCCTCCTTTGAGAAAAGCCTCACTGACTTGGCCTACGGTCTTGAATATTTAAGGAGCCACCTAAGAGATCTTTGTTTACTCCCTGGTTCTTGGCTTTGTTAAAAATAGGTTAGTTGATAGATAGCAAACATCTGGAATGGAGTACCACATTTTCATTTCTTTTAAAAAAGATGCTTATGACATCAGCTCTAAAAATTTATTTCCCTGTGTGAATGGTTGCCAACTGCAAGAAATATATATGTACACATCATTTCCTCCCACATGTAAGAGCCATAAGCATAATTTCATGTAAGCAGATCTTACCTTAACAGATCATTCTTTTCCTTTATTAGCTGTTCATTTTGCTGCTTTAACTTAGAAATTTCCTTTTCTAGACGTATATATTCACTTTTCAAAATAAGAGCTTTTGTGCTTTGTACAATGCCGCTGCCACCCCCACAGGTTAAGGGTTTATGTGAAGGCTGAGAATCAGTATGTTGTGATACCACTGAGGGCAAATACACAAAGAGATGACAATTTTAATTATCACCAAAGTTCAAAATGAAGGAAACATTACTAAGTAAAATAAGTCACTATAAAAGACAGAAACCAAAACTTTTCAACCATCATTTCCCTGGAAGTCATCCTTGACTTCTTCCTTCTATTTCACCTCCCACTGCCTGTTTGATCATAAATTCCAAATATTTCTAGAATCTTCCTGCTTCTCTATACCTAGCAATTCCATGGCCATCGTACTGCTAAGATCTTTCACCATGCTTGCAGCAGTGGCAATCCTCGCCAGTTAGTTGTCCGTCACTCATCTAGCCTCTCTGCCAGTGGATTTACCTGGAGAGCTTCTTATAACACAGATGTGTGTGTGAGGTCCTCCCCATCATTCAGTGCACTCTGAGTATTCAACACAATATTTGCTAACTAAGTAAGTATTATAATGATATTTAAGCACATACTATTAAGTATTTGACACTATGTGTGTAAAAGTAATGTAAGGAGATAGAGAGAGGGAAAAAAAGATGGCAGAGTAGGAAGGCAAGGCGGAAACCCCCTCCCACACTCACACCAAGGAGGCAACTACAGCAAATACAACTATCCCTGAAAATGACCTGAAGGCTGCAGAATGGGCCATCTACTGAAGAACTTCACCTGGGGAAGAAGAGAAGACCACACAGAAAAGGGTAAAGAGGCAGAGCTGTGACTGTGCAGGACCCAAGCCCTCCCCTGATTCAAGCCCACAGGCAGGAGGAAGAGGAAAGAACAGAGAGGGTATAAGTACTCAGAAACTCTGCACACCTGGCCCTGGAGATCTGCTCTGGGAATCTGGGAACACGAGTCCACATTCATTGGGCTTTGGTGATTGATAGCGCTGGACACCATGGAGAGTTGGAGCACTCTGGGAGTCTGAGACTCCTGCCACTTGCAGAGGACAGGCATGTTCCACTGGTCCCGCTGAGACCCAAAAGAGGTGGCAGTGTGACAGATTTACCAGCAGTAGGAAGGGTGCCAGAAGGGCGACAGTTAGAGCTCTGTTTGCAGGAGAAATGGCAGGTAGAAGAGGCTTCCCAGCCCTCCATCAACCCAACTGGGTGGGCACCTGCCAGTCCCAAGCAGTCCACTGGTGGCTCAGCCAGAGGTGCTTCCCTGTGCACACACCTGCCCACCCACCTGTCCTGCTTGGCCCAGCAGGAGTCAGACTTTATGTCTGGCAGGTGGAGGGAAGCTTTCCCAGTTTTCTAAGCCCTCTCAGCCTAACTGGGGAGGTGCCTGTGGGAGCCAGTTCTGAGTACTCCTTCCTCCTTGCTAGTGGTCCAGCCCCACACCTGCTCCCCTGTGCACCTCCCTGGCCTACCCCATCATACCAGCAGCACAGCCATCAGTACAGGGCAGACAGAAGGTGGTCATTTTCCCAACAATCCCAGCAGAAGCCTCACTGTTCAGCTCTCAAAGGGCCGGCTGAAGTGAGCTGCCACCCTCTGCTGACAGAGATGAGCCACTGCTGACAGACAGGCAGAAAGGCAGCCTGCCCGTAGCCCACCAACAGCAACTGGGGCTCCACAACAAAGGAGAACCAGGCAATAGACAGTAAAGGGTCTTGAGCACAGGATGCCATCTTCATAAAGCCATTACTCTGTAAACCAGGAAGCACAGCAGATCCATCTAATATAAAGGAAGAAATGCAGAAGCCCTGACAAAATGAGGAGGCAGAGGAATATGTTCCAAACAAAACTAGAGGATAAGACAGCAGAAAGAGGGCTAAATGAAATGGAGATCACCAATCTTCTTGATAAAGATTTCAAAGTAACAGTCATAAAGATGCTCACTGATCTGCAGAAAAGTACTGAAGATCTCAGGGAGGAAGAGTTGAAAAAGAGCCACTCAGAGATGAAGAATACAGTAACTGAAATGAAACATACAATAGAGGGAATGAATAACAGATTGCTGTAAGTAGAAGAGACAATGCAATGGAAATCAGAGAATACAACAAAGCTGAGGAACAGAGAAAAAAACGAATCTCAAGGAATGAAAGAATGCTTAGAGCTGTGTGACCAATCCAAATGACACAATATATGCATAATAGGAGTACCAGTAGGAGAAGAAAGAGACAAAGGGGTAGAAAGTCTCTTTGAGGAAATAATTGTTGAAAACCTCCCCAATTTGGGGAAGGAAATAGACACTCAGGTCATGGAAATGCAGAGAGCTCCTAAAAAAGGAACCCCAGGAAGACAACATCAGGACATATAATAATTAAAACACCAAAGATTAAGGATAAAGAGAGAGTATTGAGAGCAGCTAGAGAGGAAAAAAAGATTACTATAAGGGAAACCCCATGATCTATCAGCAGACTTCTCAGAAGAAACTTTACAGGCCAGAAGAGAGTGGCATGAAATATTTAATGTATTGAAACAGAAGGACCTTCAGCCAAGAATCCTCTACCCAGCAAGGTTGTCATTCAAGACTGAAGAAGAGATAAACATTTCCCAGATGAACAAAGGCTGAAGGAATTTACCACCACTAAACTGGCCTTACAGGATATGTTAAAGGAACTTCTGTAGATGGAAATGTTCTTACACGTATATGGTTTACAGCAGTGAAAATAAATCCACAGTAAAGACAGTAGACCAACTACTTACCAAGCAAGTATGAAGTTAAAACAAAACAAAAGTAGTAAAACCAACTATATACAAAATCAGTCAAGGGCTATAAATAAAAGTGTGGAGGAGGAAGAAGAATAAAAAAGAAGTACTTTTAGATTGTGCTTAAAATAGAGCAACCATCAACTTAATGTAGACTGTTACATAGTTAGGAAACTACCCACAAATGTTATGGTAACCACAAACTTAAAGCCTATAAGAGATACACAAAAATTTTTAAAAAGATATCCAATCAAAACACTGAAGAAAACCACCAAATAACATGAGTATAAGAGAGGGAGAAATGAAGAAAGAGAAACTACAAAACAACCAGAAATCAAAACAAAGACACTACAAGAAAAGAATATTATAGAACAATATCCCTGATGAAGAGATGTAAAAATCCTCAACAAAATATTAGGAAACCAAACTAAAAAATATATTAAAAGGGTCATTCATCATGACCAAGTGGGATTTATACCAGGGATGCAAGGATGGTATGATATTCCTAAATCAGTGTGATAACACAACATTAACAACAAGTATAAAAATCATAAGATTACCTCAAGAGATGCTGAAAGAGCATTTGACAAAATTCAACATCCATTCACGATAAAAACTCAACAAAATGGGTATAGAGGGAATGTACCTCAATATAATAAAGGCATATATGACAAAATACAGCTAATATTACACTCAATAGCAAAAGCTGGAAGTTTTTTCTCTAAGATGAGAAATAAGACAAGGATGTCCACTCTCACCACTTTTATTGAACATAGTACTAGAAGTCCTACCCACAGAAATCAGACAAAGTAAAGAGATAAAAGGTATCCAAACTGGTAAGGAAAATTTTAAACTGTCACTATTTGTAGATGATATGGTACTATATACGGAAAACTCCAAAGACTCTACCAAAAAACTATTAGAACTAATAACTGGATTCAGCAAAGTTGCAGAATACAAAATTAATACACAGAAATCTGTTGCATTTCTACATACTAACAATGAAGTAGCAGACGGAGAAATCAGGAAAACAATTCCATTTAAAATTGAATCAAAAAAGAATAAAATACCTAGGAATCCACCTACCCAAGGAGGGGAAAGACCTGTACTCTGAAATTTGTAAGACACTCATGAGAGAAATTAAAAAAGTCACAAATAAATGGAAATCTATCCTGTGCTTATGGATAGGAAGAATTAGGACAAAATGGCCATACTGTCCAAAGTAATTTACAAATTCAATGTAACTCCTATCAAAATACAAACAGCATGTTTCAATGAGCTAGAGCAAATAATTCTAAAATTCATATGGGATCCCAGAAGACCATGAATAGCCAAAGCAATCCTGAGAAAGAAGAAAAAAGCTGGGGGTTATACTAGCAAAGTTACAGTAATCAAAATAGTATGGTATTGGCACAAAAACAAACTCATAGATCAATGGAACAGAATAGAGAGCTCAGAATAAACCCATGCATATATGGTCAATTAATATAAAATAAAGGAGCCATGAATATACAATGGGAAAAAGACAGTATCTTCAATAAGTGGTGTTGGGAAAACTGGACAGCTACATGCAAGAGAATGAAACTGAATTACTATCTAACTCCATACACAAGTAAACTCAAAATGGATTAAAGACCTAAATGTAATGTATGAAACCATAAAACTCATAGAACAAAACAGGCAAAAATCTCTTGAACATTAGCATGAGTAGTTTTTTTCTAGTTACATCTCCTTAGATAAAGGAACAAAATGAAAAATGAACAAGTGGGATTATATCAAACTAAAAAGCAAAGGACACTATCAGCAGAACAAAAAGGCCACCTACAGTATGGAAGAATATATTCATAAATAATTCATCTGATAAGAGGTTATTAACATCCAAAATAAATGAAGAACTCATATGCCTCAACACCAAAAAAAAAAAAAACAAAAAAACCAAACTGACTAAAAAATGGGTGAAGGACTGGAACAGACATTTTTCCAAAGAAATACAGATGGCCAGTGGACACGTTAATCATCAGGGAAATGCAAATCAAAACCACAATGAGGTATCACCTCATACCAGTTAGAATGGCCACTATCCAAAAGACAAGAAGTATCAAGTGCTGGTAAGGATATGGAACCCTCCTACACTGTTGATGGGAATGTAAATTGGTGCAGTCATTGTGGAAAACAGTATGGAGGTTCCTCAAAAAAAACTTAAAATAGAAATACCATTCAACCCAGGAATTCCATTTCTAGGAATTTACCAGAAGAAAGCAAAATCCCTGTTCTGAAAAGACATATGCACCCCTATGTTTATTAACTACATTATTTACAATAACCAAAATATGGAAGCAACCTAAGTGCCCATCAGCAGATGAATGAATAAAAATGTGGTACATATATGTAATGGAATATTATTCAGCCAAAAAAAGCCACAAAGAAATCCTGCCATTTGCAACAATGGATGCACCTAGAGAATTTTATGCTAACTGAAATAAGCCTGGTGCAGAAAGACAAATACCATATGATTTCACTTATTTGTGGAATCTAAAAACAAAGCAAAACAGAAGGAACAAAACAGCAGGAGATTCATAGACACTGAGAAGTGACTGGTGGTTACCATGGGGAGGGCTTTGGGTAGAGGGGTAGGAGCTGCGATTATTCTGTATAGATGCTAGGGACATTCAAGTTAAACATGTACTAAACAACATCATTAATGGTGTTTCTAACTTTTTTTCAATGAGTGGACAATAATGCATACAAATATCATCTTACATCTGCCTGACATTTAGAATTTTCAATGTGCTTTCACCCACTTTTAGTTTAATTCTTTTAAGAAGGTCAGGTGCCCCCATGGTTTCACATGGCCATTAAGTGAGGGCAGTCAATTTAGAGACCTCTCCCTGACTTTTACTTCAATGTTTGTTCTACTGCCAAAGTTGCCCCAAGTACTGTTCAGCATTTTCTCTTTTCCAGTGAAACATAAGAGATATAGACATATGAAAAAAGGGTAGTTTGAGGAATGTATATACAGAAATTTGATCATTAGACTTAAAATATGTACTTAAGAGAAATTTCAGAATCTGCAAGTAAGCATCAAGTTGGTACTTTCAGTATTAAGAACAACTAAGATAATACTTATTTTTACTGTGCACTGATTATATTTTTACTGTGCATATGTTAAAATCTATTCAGACTGTGTTTGTATTTTTATTGGGAACGGTACTTCTTCCTTGATAGTTATATCATTCTTTTACAGTACTGAAGTTATCTTCAGTAATATGCTAAGATATGATAATATAATACAAAGGTGAAATTCCTATTTTTCAAGAACCTTTAATGGGTAAACAGTTGAAATAATAGTAAATAAAGGAGATGTCAAATGATAAATATGATCCCAATGAATTCATTTTAAAAATAGTTTTCTAAATTAGTGATTAACTTAGGTCTATTCTTGACTGTCACATATATCATAGCAGTCTTTAAAATGTGTAATGACATTGGGAAGTAAAATGGAAAAGATCTGAAGAAATCAGCATTTTCTACTTACTCGAGGTATCTTGGGCCTGCTGACTTCTCCTAAGATTTTCTCTCAATAACCTTATAACTTCTTTTTGATTTTCTACAGTGGCTTTTGTAGAAGTAATTCTATAAGAAGAACAACAGAAATATGTAAAAGCCCAGTAACTAATTTTTAATAGAATATGAAATATAATTGCTGTCAAAATTTTCTAATAAGATGTCACATTAACATAACACTGATAAATAATAACAATAGATAAACCCTAGTGGTATAATGTCCACCCTGCTGCATCTCATGCACTTTATAGCTATAAAACCATGACATAGGAAGTATTCTGTTTTGTTGCAGGGGCAATTTTTTAACATTGAGAAACCAGTTCTTTCTAAATTTCTGGAAGCCCAATACCTATTAACTGAATATTGAACAAAATTATAGTCAGGGATACCATAAAACAAATAATTGAGCTGTTACATGAGGACCTAGAAAAGAAAATTACCAAAGCATAAAAGTAAAAAGCAACTTCTTTTTCCACTTTGTCAGGATAGCAAGCCCCATCTGCACTTCTGGGCTAAGGTGATACAATCAAAGGTCAGGTTCTGCTCATTGTTCCCCAATCGAATGAGACATTCTATGAATTGTTTTCTTAAGCATTAGTAAACAATGATAAATTATGTGATTTTCTGCCTTTCTTAGAGACTGAAAGTATTTGCTGATTCTATTCTGTAACTAAAATTTCTTTTTATAGTGAAGAACTTAACAGGTTTAAGTTTCACTAAAACCAATAGCCTTATTAATGTAATGGAAGCCTGGTTAGAATGCATGAAGATTCAGAGTGCTACTTTTTGGATGAAATTAGATAGTAAATACTTATTCAAGACTTACAGGAAGAATAACAAGTGGTAAGAGCCAGAAGGGATGTTAAGAAATCCTCTAATACACACTGATCCTTTTAGTGATTAAGAATACAAGGCTCAGAGAGACTAAATAGCTGGCCCAAGTGATATATTAATAAACCATGGGTTCATGGGTAACACTATATTTTTAATTCAGTTTCCCTGACTTTCTGTTTAATGTTCTTTTCATTATGTTATGCCACAAGAACTTTAGGTATGCTATTATGTGTAGTATTATATATAAATAAATCAATAAAAAGAGGACATGCTCTTAGGTACTAGGTACTATAATTTAAAAGGAAATACAACCTTTACACAAAAACACAACAGGAAGAACAAACGAAATAAAGAGAACCGATAGAAACCTTAGTCAAACTGCTAAATACATATACCCACACAGATTCTTAACATACATTTTTAAGCATAAAAAGGCCATTTTTAAGCTGTTCACATGTGACTGAGCAAGAAGCATCCAAAGACACAGTGTGTTGGTAATTGATCAGAATTGTGCTTATTTTTGAAATCTTTGTATATGTAATGAGAATTTAATAAATTTAAAATCTGTGGATATTTGTACTTTTTAGAAAAGCAGTAATAAAATTTTCATATATTTAAAAAGTTAACTAATGCAAAGAAGTTTATATAATTCAGGAAGGAAATGTAAGCTATTCAAGTCATGTTCGGTTAAGGTAAAGACATACTCACTCCTTCTCAAACTCCTTGGCATTTTTCATCTTCTCTAGGTCTACTTTCACCAGCTTCATTTTGAGATCTTCAATTTCTTCTTTATAAGGCTTAGCTCCTAAAGCAGCTTTGTTCTAAATTTTTAAGAGAATAGAAAAATAAAAGAATTTTAGAGCATTTCTAAAGAGTTGTTAACCAGCTTGACTGGTTAAGAATATTCTAAAACAGCAAAACCCAAATATATGAAAAGCAGGAAGAACACTTATTTTAACCTTAAAAACCAGTAGCAAATAGGTATTTGATGTGAAGTATACCTAAAGTGATTGGAAGCTAATATGTAGAGAACACATGATTTTTGTTTATTAAAACAAATTGTTTTCCCTATTAAAAATGAAATACCTAAACCAAACAAAAAATAAAGGCTGACAGTAATGAAATGGGTAGACAAAGGTAAATCAGGAAAATGAAACAAAAACATGTCAAAACAGCAATATACATACCAAACTACAATAGAATTCAAGGCACAAAGAATCATACAGTGTTATTTTGTCAAAGATGGTGCAATCCAGTGATATTAATATATCTACTTTCCACTCAAAGAATGTATATCTAAATATATATATATCTAAATATATGTATCTATCTATCTAAATATATATATATACTTACATATAAATCTTTGTCAATGAGATTTTTTTAAGAGTAGTTTTAGTTATAGAATAATTGAGTAGACTATACACAGACTCCCTACGTACCCTTGTCTCTCCCCTCCCTCTCCCAGTTTCCCCTATCTTTAATATCCCACATTAGTGTGGTATATTTCTTACAAATGATGAACCAACATTGATATATTATTAAGCAAAGCTCATAGTTTACATTAGGGTTTATTATTTGTATTATACATTCTGTGGGTTTTGACAAATGTATAATGAAATGTGCTCATCATTACTGTATCATACAGAATATTTTGCCTGCCCTAAAAAAAATCCCCTGTGCTCCACCTACTCAGCCCTCCCACCCTCTGAAACATTGGCAATCACTGATCTTAATACTGTCTCTAGTTTTGCCCTTCCAGAATGTCACATAGTTGGAATCATATAGTATGTAGACTTTTCAGATCAGCTTCTTTTAATTAGCAATATTCATTTAAGGTTCCTCTATGTCTTCTTGTGGCTTGATAGCTCATTTTTTATTATCACTGAATAAATTATTCATTTCTCTTTTATCTTCGTACCATGACTATAAAACAGTATATTATTAGATACTCAATACAAAAATAAACCCATCCAAATAGGGAATCCTAGAGGAATAGTGTTAAATATTAAGTAATATTTTTTTTAATGTAAGGAATATACAAAATATATATCTTTTAAAAATATTTTTTTTGACAAAGATAAAAATAAATTATTTTGGATAAAAATATACTCCTGCATTTCATTTCTGAGTTGTCACTTGCTTTTTTAAAGCTTGAGAATTAAACTTCAGACAGACATAGGTAATAGGAAGTTGATATAATGATTAGAGTCCCAAATTATCTACCATATTTAACAGATAAAAAACACCCTCTTATTTATAAAGTGAGTTTAAGTTACCTGAAGTATTTGGATTGTTTCTTTTGTTTCTTCAAGGCATTTATTTGATTCATTGACTTGTGCTTGAAGTTTTGCTATTATATCATTAGTCATCTCAAGTTCTTTGTGCATCTTTATAATCTTGCCTTCCTTATGCACAGCACTTTCTTTAGCTTCCTGTAGTAAAGTTTCAAGCTCTTGAATTCTCTATTAGAAAAAGTATGTATATATAAGATCTGCCACCCAAAGGATCAGAGCATGTAAGTTTAAGACAAATTGATCCTATAAGGTATTAATTTTTTAGATTGTATTAATAAAGGATAAAAAAAGAAGCCAAAGTCACTCCATTTGCATATGTATTGTTTTTTTTGTTTAGAAGTTGATGATTTTTTGGATTAAAAAATGCCCAAATTTTATAAGGCTTAGTGTTCATTTTACTTACTGGCTAGCACAGTACTAAGCATATTAAATAGGCACTCACATTTGATACTACTTAAAGAAAGAATATTTGTTAATTGACTACTTAAAGTAACACATGTAACATAACTTTACCTTTATTTTTATTACATAGTTTTGAAATTTAAAAGTACAAGTATGTGGAAAAATTCAAAGGCATATAGTGAAGAGTACGTTCCCCACCTCAAAACCCCAGCTGATGCTGAAGCAATGAGCACTAAACTCTTTGGATATCCTTCCAGAAATTTCCTATGTGTATTAAAGCATATGTGAATACAATTTATAAAACAGTCAGTCATACATACAATAGGAACATACTATAGTTTTTTTTAAACTTGGACAAACCGTTTTCCAGATCTTTCCATCATCAACCCCTGCAGATCACTCACCTTTTTTTTCATAGGTAGGTACTATAAATTGGTTTAACCCATCACCTAGTAATCAGTTATTTCCAGTTTTTTGCAAGTACTAAAATATCTGAATTTAAATATATGAATTAATTCATATTTATAAGATTATTCACATACACACACATGCAGGTTTTCCTGGAAAATGTGTTTTTTCTTGGCCCACCCAGAATTTATTTTTGTTTAATGAGTGAGGTAGAAATCCAGACTTATTTTTTTCCAGATAGCTAGCTGATTATTCTGAATCAAACATTAAATAAATCATCTCTTCTCCACTCAGTCAACTGCTAGCATTTTCATATAACTAAATTCTCATACTTATTTGGGTATACTGTTCAACTCTATTCAGTTTCACTGTTGTATCTGCCTACTCCTGTATCATCACCAAACTACTCTATGCTAATCTAATTTGACATAATTATCAAACTAATAATAGCGTTATCATTTATTTTCTGCTTGGGCATTTCCTGGGGTCATTTGAAGATGGAATTTCGTTCTAATTCTTTATCTTATTGCTTTGGTAGATGGGGTTCATATTTCTGCTATTTCATCTCCAGCAGCTGACTGAGGTATGTGGTGATCAGCAAACAAATAAAACTGTACCCTAGTGATCTTCTAGTTTTCACTGGTAGTTATTATTAAAATAGTGATTGATGTTTTAAGTATTTATTTTGGTAAAAATGACAAATTATAATTTACTCTTAGGTTCTCCACTGAGTCATTTCGTGTGCTAACAAAATAAAATAACATAACATAACAAAATAAAATAACGTTTGCTTTATAAATCCTCAAGTAAGCATAGTTAATAAATCAACTGGATTATTCAAATAACATACTGATTCTTGGATACAGGTTAACTGCATAAGAAATATTTTATATTTTCAGCCTCTTCCATTTTTGTTTTGATGGTAACTTTATTCAGTATTAAAGACATTGATGATAATTACAGAAAGGCTATATTGCTCTTTCACTCTACTTCTCCATATAGACAGATTATAGTTTAATAGTTACATGATTTAGGAAATTTGTAATGTATGGTAATCTTAACTGATGTATATTTCTGCTAATCATGAATATTTCTGTTTTATAATCCAAAAGGAAGATCTTATATAATGTATAGCTTTACAATTAGTTGAGTGATAGCCACAATAGAACTATATTTAAAAAACCAGCCCATCAGACAGAAATGGTCCATGTACCTTAACACAGTCAATACTGTAATTTTGCTCTGAAATATTATGTAAAATGCACCTCTAACTCTGTGCATGAGACTGCAAATTGAAAAACATCGTATAAGAAACTACGTACCTCTATGGTCAATTGTGTAGCTCTTGATGTAACATGAAGATTCTTATTATCTGGTGTAGTAGGATTAACAAGGACATCAGATGTTGGGGGGATCTTCAACATTTGGTAGTTTTTAAATAGTTTTTCATTTTTCTCTTTCACTGATTTTAGGTCATGTTCCCATTCTTTGGCTGTGGTAGCATTTCTTTCCTCAAACTCTGTCGATTCATTCATTATAGCCTATAGAATAGTAAAAACACCATTATAGCTTTAAGATGAACAACATATTTTTAAAAAACTATGAAAAATACTACAATTCCAGGACAAGACATATGCTGAAATTCATTATTCAATATTTTCTAAAACAGCACTTTAAAAGAACATTAATATTCTTTGTGGTTTGTATCAGTTCTGACATTTCAGATGTTGGATGTTGATGGTACAAAAAGAGTAAGTATTGTAAAGGATTCATACTGATTTGCAAGATGATATTCTCAAATTATTAGATCAGCACTCATGAGAGGAATCTGAAGAATTGTGCAGGTTAAAGTCATTATATATGGTACAACATATATAATGTCATAAATAAACGTTAACTGACATTTAATAGCAGAGTATGCCCAGTAAACTTTTTTTTAAGAGTATAATTGTATTTTTTTAAGGTATCATTGATATACACTCTCACGAAGGTTTCACATGAGCAACACTGTGGTTACTACATTCACCCATATTATCAAGCTCCCCCCACCCCATTGCAGTCAATGCCCATCAGTGTAATAAGATGCTATAGAGTCTCACTACTTGCCTTCTCTGTGTTATTCTGCCTTCCCCGTGACCCCACCCACACCATGTGTGCCAATCATAATGCCCCTCAATCCCCTTCTCCTTTCCTCCCTTCCCACCCTTCCCCACCCTTCCCCTTTGGTAACCCCTAGTCCTTTCTTGGAGTCTGTGAGTCTGCTGCTGTTTTGTTCTTTCAGTTTTGCTTAGTTGTTATATTCCACAAATGAGTGAAATTATTTGGTACTTGTCCTTCTCTGACTGGCTTATTTCACTGACCATAATACCCTCTAGCTCCATCCATGTTGTTGCAAATGGTAAGATTTATTTTCTTCTTATGGCTGAATAATATTCCATTGTGTATATGTACCACATCTTCTTTATCCATTCATCTACAGATGGACACTTACGTTGCTTCCATATCTTGTCCAGTAAACTTAATGACAATCTATTTTCCTGTTTCATTCCAAACCTCAGTTTAAATGGAAAAAAATTCACTGACTTTTGGTAATTAATCTGAAAATTGTGTATTTCTATGCAGGGAATACCAGTCTCAACACCCTCTTTTAACATCAAAGCTAACTAACTCTGAAATCACTCACATCTTTTTACCTCCTAATTCCTATGGGGTGTACCTTTTGCTCTCATCATGAATGCCTTATTGGTCTTATCTCTAACTTTCTTCATGGCTTTATGTCCCTTCTATCAGACTCATATGTAAGTTAGCTGTGCTCTTGCTGGCACACTGGACTCTCCTTGGCTCTGGACTACTGACCTCACACCATACAAAGTTATCAGGTCCTACTCTCAGCTGGTTGGGAGAAACCACATATTCATGCTGGTCCCCACAGTAGAAACCCCTAATTTCTAATCACAACTGGGCTCCCAATATTACAAGAAAAATACTAATTATATGGAGATTATCTTAGCCAAACATTGGCTTAATGTTTTCCTCTATTGATTGTGGCCTTTTTTCTTTTTTAAACCACTTGTTTACTACTTTCCTAGCTCTGGGTATTCAACAAATGGCATTAAACTATCTACAGGAAAATATTTTTGAAAAACATTATCTATATTTCAGTATGATTTAAGTATAGCTTCTGGAAGAAATTAAAATGTCAGGAAAGAACTACCCAAACATATGAAATATAAAACCAATCTTAGAAGCTATAGTATTTGCTCCAATTGCATCTATAACAAGAAATTCTCTGATTACTGCATACTCTACCAGGTATTTGAGGTCAGGGTTACTTTGGAAAGCTGAATGAATATTTTGAGCAGTGGAAAGTAAAACAAATTAATAAACTGATCTTAAACAATGCTGGTTCTTATGAATCTGTCCACTAGGGCTGATCGCCTTGAGAACAATGATACAAACCAGATTTTTGAATCTCAAAGTCAAAAGATCAGCACATATAATACCACTGAAATGAAAAACACAAGAGGCTTCACTAAAGTAGCTACTACCTGCAGCCCTGAAACCAGGTCCATATCACACCTTGTGTGAGGCTCTTTGGGGAAAAGGCTCAATTCATACAGGAGTAAGAAGTGAGAAAACAGGAGATTGGCAAGAGAATTTAAGATTACACAGTGGAAGCTGATTATTATACACCAAGACTGTTATCTTCTTTACAAGTATAAACTGATATATTTAATTATCTAAGGAAGCTTGATGTTAGAGGAAGAATTTTTTTTATAGTCAATTTTTTTCACAACACATATACAAATAAAATCTTTAAAAAACACTTAAAATAAATTTTCTCTAAGTCCTTTTGAGAATGGGGTAGAAAAACTAAACCAAAAAAGAATGAGGTAGCACAAAAAATTACTGCTTACAATTATTTTGTTGTTGTAGAAGTTATTCACTTGACAAATTCTATCGTTTTCTTTCTGGACGCCATTTTTAAGCTTTTCTGTATCAAAGTGAGTATTTAACCATTCTTCCAAAAACTGGGTCATTTCTTTCCTATTACTGAGTACTTCTTGAAATTCAGTCTTTATGCTGTGGAAGTCACTTTCTGAAAAATCTTTGAGAATTTCCTGTAAAAAATAAGCATCGAGTCAGGTAAACATTGGGATAAAGTTTTTACCTACCATACAAATGTCATCAAAGTGGGAAAATACTTTACTGAACTCTCATTCTTAATGTTTTGAAGTAAATATAATTCTACTTTATTCTAATTATATTGGAAATATGATTCTAATGTAACACTTTATTCTAAATAAATACCCTAAATATTTATTCATTTATTTGAATAGTAACATTTTGGGTACAGGCTGTGTGACAGAGGCATGTCTACAATGTCTGCCTGTTAGAATTAAAACCTGTGAACACTATAAATCTGTGACAAATAATCACAATATGTAAAGTGCTTCTGAATGTAGCTTTTCTGTGCATACAGCAGGCATTACACTTGTGTTGGGATGGATGCCAGCCTCACACTGCTGGAGGAGAGCAGGACACTCCATCCACGTGGAGTTGTTGCAATAAAAATGTCTCTGACTTCCAGTCGCAGATCTATGAAGTTCTATGAAGTTTTAGAAGGCATTAGGAAACTTATTCCAAGGTCCCATAAATTCCCACTTGCTGATACTAAATCTATTTTCTGTAGCTGTGGGGTTCTGAACAGGGGCTAGTCCATTACTTGACACTCCTTATATCAGGCCAGCTGTTATTCTGCAACCAATTCTGAATTTTTGGTAAATGAAAATTGCTCTAAGCATATGAAAAGGTAAGGCTTAAAATCTAGTTAAAATAATTTAAAACAAATTATACCGCAATATGTAGATCCATACGTTGGCTTAGTTTGAGGTCCCTTAATTCGCTGGATGGTACATCACAATCTTGTTGAAGGTGTTGTATTTTTATTAGCAGTTCATTTTGCTTTTCCACTTCGTCAACAAAAACCATTTCAAATTTATTGATGGATTCATGTTGTTCTTCCTTTATCTTTGTAACATGGTTTAACACATACTTGTGGAAAAACATTAAACAAATTGAAAAATGAGTTTTACCAAATTTAAATGACATTCTAAATTCCTGAGACTGAGAGGTGGGATGGCATCTCTGGTTTATCTTTATCTATATCCTCTGATAAGTGGGGAAGAGGAAAAGAACCTCTCTTCCACCAACTTACTCCTCTCAGAACTTGAGAAAATAATACCAGAACCCTTTTTCATTGTTTCTGACTTCCTGTGGGACATGCCTCATGATGTCCTGCAATTACTTCAAATTCAGTAGGTTTAAAATGTACGTAGATCCATTCCCCAAAACCTACCTTTCTCTATTATTCTCTTTTTAGTTAATTTTATCACCAATCATCCAGGTTTCCCACTAAACACCTAAGATGCACCTTCAACATCCTCTCCTGCCCACCTTGACTGGATAACAAGTAAGGGTGCGTGATACCTCAAGATTTACTTGTCAAGCATATTTAGTGTTTGGCTTTAAGATGAAAATAACTTGAATTCTATGTTTCACGGATCTCATGAATAAGTTCTGGATATAGGACTGCCAGGATTTGTGGAAGAATATCAGGGTCTGAGGGGCTGTCTACTTAGGTAGGGCAGATACACAACTCCTTAACTTCCTCAGCTTAGACTGCTCTGACTTAACCTCCTATAATTTGGCCTCTTCCCTAACTACTCAAACTAAACTGCTCAGACAAAGGTCTCCAATGAGCTCTATTATTGACACACTGGGGGGATCTCTTCAGCCTGTATCCTGGCTGTCTGAAGTACTTGCCACTCCTGACCACTTCATCTGTGACGTGCTCTCCTCCACAGACTTGAGCCATTGCCCGTTTGCTTGATTTTCTCCTGTCTCTCTGACTTTTCCAATCTCAGACCCATGGTCCTCTTTTCTGCTGCTGTTTCTGGAAAAATTATCTTTTCCACAGTTGTCTTCTTATCCCAAGGGTCTTATTCCTCTACTATGCATTCTGGGTGATGTTACTCTCACATGTTGCATTATCTATCATCTATTTGAATCCCAAATCTTTACTTTTAGTTCTGACTTTACTTCTGACAAACCTCAGATTCACAATTAAATGCCTACTTGGTTTCTCTTCTTGGATGTTCTGTCATAAGTATTTCCATTCAAAACATCTCAAACTAAGCACCAGATTGCTTCTCCTACCTCATCTGTCTTGCTCCTCTTCCTTTTTTCTTCATGCCAGATAATGGTACCACTGACCACAAATCTGGCTAAGCTCAAATCCTGGATGCAGTCTTAACATCTCTCCCTTACCTCCCCTATCAAACAATCACATGGACCCACATTTTTAAGTTGCTAAGTATTTCTTTCATCCTCCTCATCCCCGTGAATCTTTTTCTAGTAGTACCGTCACCCCCAATTATCTCACCTGGACCACTGCACCTGTCTTTGGTCTCCTGCCTGCCACTAACTAAGCTTATCCCCCATGGATGCACTTCTTTGTAGTGAAACATCAAACGTAATCTATTGCTCCTGTTGCCACTTAGAATAACTGTCTGGTGGCTCCACATCAAGCTTTCTTGCTTCTGTCAGGCTTCTACTAGTCTTACTGTATGTGACTCTTCATTTGCTATATCACACAAGCTGCACATTCTTATATACCACTGCACTTATTACGCGTTTATAGTTCTGCCTTACCCACTAGACTACAAGATATTTGAGATGTTATTTATACCTGTTTTCCAAGCACCTTGATACAGTGTCTAGGCCTACGGACAGAGCTCAGGTTTTGCTGAGTGAATAGGTCCTAGATGCATTGAGGATCTTGCACATACTATTCTCAGACTCAAATAATCTTTAAAAATTCAGTAGTAGATCCACTAAACAGCAAATATGCCAATTCCCAAAGTAGGACTTAAACTCCCTATTCCTAATGGAAAATTTTTAGTAATATTTATAACCATATTACTTAAAAAAGATGGTACCTTAAGTTTCTGCATGACTCTGTGGAATTCCATGGAACATCTTTGGTTTGCACTGAGAAGTTTTTGAATCTGTTTGGCTTGTGGATATGGAAGTGAAAGGTTTGTTTTTATTCTAATTGAAAGCTCTTTTTGGGTTTCAATTTCCTTCTCCAAGTCAAAGGATAGTTTATTTAAGCATTCGTAATTATTATCCATCTCTGTGTATCTCTTCAGCAGCTCCTAAAGAAAATCAGAATTCATTCAATTTAATAATTTATTCTAATTTAACAATAAATAGTCCTAGCCCTAGAATTGTAACAAAACATACGTTTTAACACTTTTTGTATGGCAGAAATACAGACCTTTGTGTTTAAAAACAAAAGGAAATTTTATTGTTGATTTTGGTATAGAAGTAATATATAATTATTGTGGAAATTTGAAGAAAGTTAAAGAAATATAACAAAGAAAACCAGAAACAACCACTGTTATTATTTTGATACTTTCAGTCTTTTGAACATCCATGATTTGAACAAGCATTTACAAAGTCAATGGAAACTGGAGTGAATTCAATCTTGTATGTAATTGTAGCTCAAGCCTGACTTCTGGCTTATAATAGGCTTTAGGAGTTAGCAGATAAAACAAGTGACTAAGAATCAAACTAGCTATTTGCTATCTTGGTGTATCTGCTTCACGCATTTGTATTATCTGCCTAGAATCTGAGAGTTCTATCATAGTTAAGAGGTCATGTTGTAGCTTTGCCACTTCCTGACTGGGGAAATCATTGGGCCATTTTCCCAACTTCAAAAAGAAGACTACAATAATTACTATAAAGTTTTCTAGGGGATCAAATATTACATAATATCTGTAGCTATGTAATCTATAAAATAAATACAGACATTATCTCTTAAAGTAAATACAATTATACAAATAAAAGGGCTTCTATATCTAAGTTTTAAACTTAGACTTGGTTTCAAGTCCTGATTCTACCATCTTATTAGCTATGTGACCTTGGGCAACTAATGAACTTCTTCTCTCAGCTTCAGTTCATTTATAAACAGAGCAATAAAACCTCTCTGATGCAGTAAAGCACCCAGTATAGCACACAGCATGTGGCAGACACTCAGTAAGCTTGGGTCCATAAGCTCATATGACTAGAGAACAGGTAGGTGGCACACTCGTCAGAGTATAGGTGAAAGAACAAGTTAAGTTCAAGTTGCTACAGTCATTAACACCATACTTAACTCAGGGTGCTAACCAATAAAACAAGGGCTTTTTACAATAATGAGGCTTTCTCTTTTTAAAAGTAATTTAAAGAAAAGCTAGGTGTTCATTAATCTGGGACACCAGAGAGGGGATTCCTGCCTTTGGTCTTAGGATGAATCAAATTATGGTATGGAGCAGCATTGTAGAGTCAATCATTTGTACTTTTGATAAATACATATTGAATGCTGACTTCTGTCTGTAATGCGCTAAGTGATAGCCTCAAACAAAACAAAAAAATCCTTATGGATCTTGCATTCTAATAGCGGTGACAGTAAATCCTGCTGGCTTTACTCTCAGTATATATTCTGAATCCAAACACTTCTCACTACTTTCACTGATACCCTCCTCTTTGCTTGGGTTATTGAAATTAACCCTTCAAATGATCTTCCACTACACCTGTTTTTAACAAAACAATTGGAGTCATACCTTTAAAATGTTAAGTCAGGTCATGTCTCTCTTGTGGACAAAACTCTCTATCTCCATCTCACTCAGAGTAAAATTCAAAGTTCTTTTAAGGCCTCACAGACTGTGTCTTCCCCATTAACTCTTTGACCCCATTTCCTATAAGTTTGCCAATTTTGGATGTTTGTGGAACCTACCAAGCAGGCTCTGTCTCAGGAGATTCATACTTGCTGTTCCTGTTCCCTCTGCCTATACTGCTCTTTCCCCCAGGTACTTACATGGCCTAATCTGTTAGCTCTTTCAGGTATTTGCTCAAACATCACCTGTCCAGTGAGGGCTTAAAATCATAAACTCCTACTCTTTTGTTTGTGTGTGCATGGATGTATATATGCACACACATAAATACCTGTACCAGATTATAAAGCTTAGAAAAACATTAAGTACTATCTCTTCATTCCACGGAGGTTCCTTTGATTCCATTGGAAGGGTACCAATACTTATTTGTAATTTTAACAGGGGACACTTACTTGTATCCTAAAGCACTTTTCTCTAAGGCTTTCTTGAAGGTGGTGTTTTTCATCACATAGTAATTTTTTTTTATATTTTGTTACTTCTTTGTGGTTCTGTTGGTCCTGCTTTGATACAAAGAAATACATAAGAATTCAGCTATAACTATGTTCAAGTATAATGTCTAATCATGTACTTTTTCAACTATAGTTTTACAGCATTTTTAATAATGGAATTAAGTATTCCACCTGTAACTCAAAAACAATGTTAAAAACAGAAAAATGCACAATTGGGAAGATATGTGGGAGAACCACATAATTTTTGGAGACAGTATTTGTTTCTTTAACCTTCATAGTTGCAAATTAGATTTGAGATCTCTCTCTGGTTCCCACTGTTCCAAGTCTCTACATTACAATTATTGATGACAAGTAAATATACTAGCAGAATCACCTGTACTATCTCTAGTGTTCTAGGTCCTGGTCATGTTTTTCTCAGCGCCTTGGAACAGAAAATTCATATCCTATTTACATTTTGTATTACTGATTAGAAGTAAAAAAAAAAAACATTGTTACCTATTTGTTTATATTATTTACTATAGTACCTAGAAGAATGACTGTTTAGTAAATATTTGTTGAATGAATGTAGTTAGAAGCCACATAAAGATGACTCCCAAGTGTCTGATGTTTCTATTGAGACTGGAAATGATAGTTTTCTAATTCATTATTTCTTTTATTATTGAAATATGAGAAAGAAAAATTGATTTTTATAGATTCCATACAATTTATATGTCTGAATTTTATGTTATTTTTTAGAGGACTTAATTAGGTTTTTAAAGATATAGGACTCTGAATATCTATAAAGTCATACTACCTTTTCAATATTTACATTGCCTTTTTTATATTTATATTTATCTTGACTTTTTCCCTTCTAAGTTCACCAACAAGAACCCAGGTCTAAAATGCTACCATGCAGAGGCAGAGAAATGGGGTATTTAATCTTTTATAAATCTAATATTTGATATTTCTCCATTGAGAATGCTATTTCTTGGTTTTAAAAACCCTTTAAAAATTATGTTAAAATAGTTTAACAAATATTTTCTTAAAAATAAAATGGCATTTTTTGAAAAACATTTTGGCTTCTTTTAAAACTGTATTTCCTACTTGTGTGAAAAATTATCATAACCGTTTTCCTGCTAACCTTTACTGTTTGTGGAATTTCCAAAAGAAAAACAAATAAACCTCATTGTTTATCTTTTCAAAAAAGCTTGATTCTTATAATAATGAAGCAAAACTGAAGAAAATAGCAGCAGACTCACAGACTCCAAGAAGGGACTAGGGGTTACCAAAGGGGAGGGGTTGGGAGGGAGGGAGAAGGAGATTGAGGGGTATCATGATTAGTATACATGGTGTGTTGGGGGTTATGGGGAAAGACAGTGTAGCACAGAGAAAACAAGTAGGGACTCTGTGGCATCTTACTACACTGAGGGACAGTGACTGCAATGGGATACAGGGGGTGGGGCACTCAATAAGGGTGAATGTAGTAACCACATTGTTTTTCTTATGAAACCTTCGTAAGAGTGTGTATCAATGATACTTAAAAAAAAAGCTTGATTCTTATAGTTATTAGATGGGAAGATTCTGAACTCTAGCTTTCATTTCTCTTAAGATTTCTCTGAATTGGTCTCTTTCCATTTTGAGAGACTCTTTTATCCTCCTTAGCTCATCTCTTTCTTTTGCTAAAATTCTTGTTTCTTCAAGGCTATCATGAAGTTTCTTAGTCAAGTAAAAGTTCTCCACTTCCACACTTTGCATAGATAAATTTTGGGTCTCAAATTGCTGCTTCAATTGTTCCATGTCATGCATTTTTTCATGACTTTTATTGACATCTTTCACTTTAAGAAGTTGAAGCTCTTTTTTCTGAAGTTCTTGGATCTTGAGATAATTACAAAACAAGTTCAATGTAAACAATTACTTCAAAGAAGAAAAATAGTGTCAATTTGTTATGTATCTATATATATTTTTATATGCACACATCTATATATCTGTATTGCTTTCTCATTTCACCATTTTGGACACAGCTATTCCCAAAAGAATGAAACAACACGTACCTTTTCCTGTAATTCATCTTTCGATTTATTTAAATCCTTTTGAATATTTGAAATCTCAGTTGTCTTTTGTGAAACCTTCTCTCTGAATCTATCAATAGTTTCTTGGTGTTCTTTCAAATGCACATGAGCAATTTTTAGTTCCTGTTGTGTTTCCAGATCCTTTAATTATTAGAAAGTAAATATTATGATATCATAAAGGCACATTACCTTTTCTTAATGATGAACTACTTAAACAAAATCTTAAAATAATGCATGCTCATAGAAAAGACAACTATCACACCACCCCCAAATTAGAACAGGACAGAAGGATATAAAGTAAATGTTCCTGTCCTTTGCCTCACCCATCCTAGCCTGCAACTGTTTAACACTGCTATTCACCTTTGTCCTTTCATTCTGCCTGGACATCTTTCTAAATCAAGATCACATAAAGATGTCCCATTCTTAGGCTGAGTATTCCATTGTAGAGATGAACCCTACTTAGCCTGTACCTTTTTGGCAGACACTTGAATTGCTTCTTGATTTTGTTTACCACAAATAATACTGCAATGAACACTACTGTATTTCTGCCCAAATGTGTAACTGTATTGGTAGGATAAATTCCTGTAAGTGGAGTTGTCATAGCAGATGTATATATTGATACATTTCTAATAAGAATCTGTCAAACTATCTCCCTATAAGGTTGTTACATTACATTTTCACCAACAGTATCATTTATTTTCAAAGATGGAAGCTTCTTGTATGACACACGCGATTACTGGACAGGAAGAAAAGCACACCTCACCCTGGCTACGGCTGCCTGCAGGTTTGCCTCGAGTCGGTCTCTCTCCAGTCTGAGAGTCTCTTCTACTCTTCTGAGATTATCTCTCTCTTCCATTACAGATTTCAATTCTTCAAGGTTTTCATGAAGTTTCTGAGCCAAATTTAAGTTCTCCATTTCTATTTTATCCAGAGTTAAACTTTGGGCCTTCAGTTGTTTCTTCAATCGCTCTACTTCAGACATTTTTTTCTGTGCCTCACCAACATCCTCTTTTAACTTGAAAACTTGATGCTCACTTGCCTTAAGTTTTTGGATCTTAAGATAATCATAAAATAACATGTTAGTATACAGATGGCTTTTAAGGGAAGGATAAAGAATAGCTTATAAGTTTATTAAGATAATAGTCTTCCCATATCACACTTATTACTATTTTGTAAAATTCTATAGAATTTCTTTTCTTTTGCAATATAATACATAAATGCACTGATATTAAGTGTATAGCTCAATTATTCTTGATATATATACATCTATGCAATTACAACCCAGAATAAAATATAGAACATTTTTAGTACCCCATAAGGTTCCTGTGTGCCCCTTCCTAGTGCTAACCACTACTCTGACCTTCATCTTCATAGATGGGTTTTGCCTGCTTCTCAACTTATAAATTAGAATGCATTTATCCATTCTCCTTCTGATGAGCACTTGAGTTATTTTCAGTTTTTTGCTATTATGGTAGGAGCTGCTATGAACATTCTTGTACATATTTTTATGTGGTAGCATGCATTCTTTTCTGTTAGGTACATATCCAAGGAGCAGAAATGTTGGACCGTAGGCAGGTATATGTTCAGCATTGGTAAAAACTGCCAAGCTGTTGTCCAATGTTGCTCAACCATTTTACAACTTCAAAGGATTTTAGGCATAAATAAATCAGATATCCAATCAAACAAGCTCCCCAACCCCCATACCTTTTCTTGTAATTTAGCATTTGAATTTTCTAAATCCATTTGCATATTTGCTATTTCATCTTTCTTCTCAGAAATAATTTCTTTGAGTTTATCGATAATTTCCTGGTGCTCTTTTAGATGTAAGTGTGCAATTCTTAGGTTCTCTTGTTTTTCCAGATCCTTTATCATTAGAGAAATTTTTTAAAAAGTGACATTTCTCAATGTTAGCTAGTTTTTTAAATTATGAAAGTGACATATTTTCTTAGTAAAAATAATACAATAAAACTATTACTTCTTACCTTACATCTTTGTTGCTAGCCAGTTAAAAGCTTTCCTTTCCCCTGTCTTCACCTTCCCAGTCTACTAGTACTTTGTAGAAGCAAACACATACACATACTACTCACTACTCCACAGCTTGCTTTTCCCTCTGAGAGTCATTTTGGGCTTCCAAATAAGGACATTCAAATTTCTTTCTTTCTTTTTTTTTTTTTACATGTTGCATAGTATTCTGATATATTGCTTATATTTACCCCATTTTCTTCTGACAGACATTTAGATTGTTTTCCATTTTTTATTACAAATTGCTGTAAAGAACAACCTTGTGGGGTATGTGTGTGTGTGTGTGTATTCTTTTTGTATCTTAACAACGGATTAAGTACACATGTGGGATAAAGTCCATAAAGAAAGATTTTCAAGAAAAAATCCAAATTACCTACATAAAAGGTTGTATCAGCTCTCTCACACTAATATCAAAGGACGGTTCACTGCTGTTAGAAAAACACACTTACTAAAAGAGGAATGAGTGTAACTTACTTTAGCTTTGGTTTCTCTGAGGCATTCTTTCAGCTGGTCTTGCTCCATTTTGATGGTTTCCTCCATTCTTCTTAGGCCATCTCTTTCCTCAGTAACAAATTTTATTTCTTCAAGATTTTCATGAAGTTTCTGAGCCAACCTTAACTTCTCTGTTTCTACAGTTTCCAGGATTGAATTCTGGGCCTGTAATTGCTTCTTCAGCTGCTCTGTTTGATACATATTTTCCCTGAGATCATTTTTTACCTTAAGAAGTTGATGTTCTTTCTCCTTAAGTTCTTGGATCTTGAGATAATCATAAAATAAATTAAGAAATATATTGATAAAAAGCTAAATAATAGTCTCTACTAGATTAAGTAGGCAAACCTTTACTCTTCATCAATTTAGGGTCATTCATATCCTGATACACTACACAAAAGATGTGATTCAAACTTTCAGTTATCTAGATAACAACTTAAAAAAATACCTGTGCTTTTAAGGCAGTATTTGTGTTTCCTAAATCTGTTTGCATATTTGATATTTCATCTGTTTTCTCTGAAACAATTTCTCTGAGTTTATCAATAGTTTCTTGGTGTTCTTTCAGATGCATGTGAGCAATTTTTAGTTCCTGTTGTTTTTCCAGGTCCTTTATTATTAGAGAGAGAGAAAGAAAAGCAATATATTCAGAATAACACAATTCAAATAGTATGTAGAAAGATAGAGGGTAAGAGGTAAAAATTATCCTCTCTCCTTATACCTTCCAGTTTTCATCCTTGAAGTTGCTACTCTACCACTTACCCTTTCCCTAAGAGGATATATTTCCAAACCAGCACCATTAGCTCTACCTCATTCTTCATCTGTGGACTAGTACCCTTTACTTAACCAGTACCCTATTAACAGAATTTTTCCTTTCTTTTTTGTTTGACTTACTTTGTTCTGCAATTTGCTAAAATGAATATCCTTCCACAAATATCTTTGTACAGTTGTGCTAATGTCTGCAGGATAAATAGCTACAACTTGGACTTTCTGGCTCAATGAATAAACTTTCCTTAACCCCCAGTTCACCTTATTCTGTAATTCATCATTGGTTATTTCTAGTTCCTTTCGAAAGCCTGGTAGTTCAGCTTGCCTCTCTGAAAGGTTCACTCTCAGCTTATGAATAGTTTCTTCCTGTTCTTCTTGACGGCAAGCAACTTTAAGTTCCTCTTCAGTTTCTAGGTGCTTTATTAGGAGGGAAAATTGTAAGAAACTCATAGAAACATTATAACCATTACATTCTAACTTCTTTTCCCAACGGTTTAGTTTTTACAAAAATATTTGCTTACTAAACATTAAAAAGCTACACACACACACACACACACACACACACACGCGCACGCACACACACACGCGCACGCACACACACACACGCGCACACACGGTGAGGGGGAAAAGAGACACCTACGTTAGCTGTGATTCCTGACGTGCCTTCTTGGAGTTGGTTGCTCCCAGGCTGAAGAACATGTAGCCTCCGTAGGCCATCTCCCTCCTCAGCTGCAAACTCCACTTCACCGTGACTTTCCTGAAGCCTTCCAGACAGCTTGAGCTCCTCTATCCCCAGTCCTAGCAGGGATACCTCTTGGGCTTTGAGCTGCCCCTTCAATTGTGCCCCCTCACTCATTATTTTCTCAGTCTCTTTGTCTTTTTCTTTCATACTGAAAGACTGTTCTTGCTTGTTTTCAGCCTCCTGGATCTTAAGAGAATCATGAAATAATTCAGCTGATATCCAAAGATACCTTATTTTATTTTAGAGGAAAAGAAATCAGGATACTTTCTAAAACAAGTAAGTCAGGATGCATCTGCCTCATTTACAAAGCAATCTTCCACCCACTATTCAGGTACTTAACATCCATTTACTGAGGTCTCATTCTGTTGTTAGTATCCTATGAGAGGTTGGAGATAAAATGGCAAATGAGACTTAAATGACCTCTTCCTTTTTGAGATATAAACTTTAGGGAGAAAGACTGGCATTATGCCATATCATATGGGTGTGGGGTTCTCCTAGGGTATTAGTGGTAAGCCTAACCTACTGTGAGTGGTGAGGGAGGCTTCCTTGGGGAGGGGAGATCTGAAGGATAAGCACATTAGTTAGGCAAAGGGGGATAATGGAAATACTGCAGGCAGAGAGACCAGAACTTCTGAGAGCTGGGAGATGAGGAAGGGTAGTGGACTAGAGCTGCTGGGGCACAACAAGCAGGAGGAAGAGAAGTTACAATAAAGCTAGAGACCTGCAGGGTGGAGATCCAGGGCCTCATGGGCCATGTGAGGACTTCTGGTCTTTATTTCAGGAGTAACAACAGCTATTAAAGAGTTTTAAGAAGAAATGATCACTTGGGCTCAGAACGGGAATGAATTAGAGAAGTATACGAATGAATGTGGGAAACGAGTTAGGAGGCTCCTGCAGAGAGCCAGGGAAAGAAATAATGGTGACTTGGATTAGGGTGTTTGCAACATGGAGAGAAAAGTGGGAGAATTTCATGTACACACACTTTAAAATCAACAAGGTTTGGCACTAGGATTAGAGAGAGTGAACAGGGAGAGAGGGATACTAGTAGGATGGTTCCCAGATTTCTGACAGGAGTATTGGAGAAGAAGGTAGTGCCTTGTTAGATATTGAAGGAACAGGTTTAAAGAAGGAAAGAAAAAAAAAATTGACTTTGTCCTTTCCATTGCTTTTTCTAAGTCATTTTGAGAGTTGTATTTAAGAAAACAGTTCTCTGAAACATTTTCCAGTTTAGTTGTATTTATGAGCAATTTTCAGTTCTGTTTCCAGTCATTTCGTAACTAAGAGACATTACATAACACAAAGGCCCCTTTCCTCAAAGACTTGATTCTTACTAAACACTTACTAAACAGGAGGAAAGGATGAAACTTACTTTATCCGAAGTTTCTTTAATGTCTTCTTTCAGCAGGTCACATTCAACTTGAAGTGCTCCTTTTATCATTTTATGGTTGTCTCCTTCCTTAGCTAGAGATTTCATTTCTTCACGACTTTCCTGAAGGTTTTCAGTCAGCCTGAGCCTCTCCGTTTCTATGTTTGCTGATGCTGATTCCTTGGTTTTGGATTGTTTTTCTAATAGCTCTGGTTCACACAGTGTTTCCTGAGTATCGCTGACTTCTGTTACATTAACAAGTGGCTCCTGTCCCTCATGAAGCACTGGGATCTTATGATAATCATAAAATACCAATGTTACTATCTGGAGATCATCATTATTTTAAAAGGGAAAAGATGAGGATACTTTCCATAGCAATGAAAGGGATCTTGAATCCTCATGGCCTACTGTGGACCACAAATCCGATTAATTTTCTCATTTCCTACCAATGTTACTCAAGACTTGTTAGTCATATTGTCATAATTTACTTTTTCTCCAAAGTGAACTAATCATTACACTTTACCAACAAACTTCATTCAGTCAGTTGCATGTTACTTTGTTTCTACACTAGTTCCAAATGCCAAAGGAGAAAAATCACAGTTGAGCAGATTATGTTCCAATAAATGAATGATGCCCATTCAGATGAGTTCCAATGTTATTTCTCAGTATTTTTTATACATACAGATTAACTTTTCCCATGATCATTATTGGTTCCCTGTAACTTTGCCCATATATTTCACATTTATCACACTGGAATTGAGGGATTTTTTTTATATGCTTATATTGGGTGAAAAGAACAATGTCTTATTCAAACCTGTAGTCTCAGTGCCTGGCATGCAGCAGGCTTTTAGCACAGGTTGGTCCAGTTATCCCAATGTTACATTTTCTCCATAGCATCTGCCAGTATCTCAAATTACCTTGTTAATTTGTTGGCATATTTATCAGTTACCTCTTTCTATTATAAAATATGCTCTATGATCACAGAGAGTTTGTCCTCATTATCCCTTTTTATTTTTATAATTCAGGACTGTGCCTGGCATATTAGGCACTCAACAACTACTATGCACTAAAAGAATGAACTGCCACTAAGTCAGTACTTACTGTTTCTCTTTCCTTCAAAGGAGAAAGGAAGGAACAAAGGAGGAAGGGAAAAAGGAGGGAAGGAAGACAAGACAAACCTTTTCTTGTAATTCAATATTGGGTTTTTCTAAGTCCTTCTGAATATTTATTATTTGAGCTGTCTTCTCAGAAATGTCTCTTCTTAGTTCATCAATAATTTCTTGGTGTTCTTTTAGATGCAAGTGAGCAATTTTTAGCTCTTTTTTTGTTTCTAGGCCCTTTGTGAGCAAGTGAAAGTTTAAGAATATTATAACATATTCCCAACCTTACCTCCCACCCCCACCCCTACCACTGCAATTGGTTCGGTTTTAAAGAAACATTTAATACATGAAAGAAAAGGGTATAACTTACTGTAACTTCAATTTCTCTTATGTATCTTTTAAGTTCATCTATCTCTATTTCAAATGACCCCTGTAATTCTTTTAGCTCATTTCTTTCTTTGGTTATGGATTTCATTTCCTCATAATTTTCATGAAGTTTCTGGGCCAAATCTAGCCTCTCCATTTCTATTTGTTCCAATGTTAATTCTTGGTTTCTCAATTCATTCTTTAAATTCTCCATTTCATTCATCTTTTTCTGCATCTCACTCATCTCTTCATGTACACTAAGAAGTTGTAGCTCTTTCTCTTGGAGTTGTTGGCTCTTAAGAAATAAAACTTAAAATTACTATTTTGATTCTCTTAAAATTCATATGTAAGACGTACTTTGCCAAAATGAGTAAATAATTATCACAGCCCTACCTACTACTCCAAGGTAAACAGACAAAATAGTATTAGAAATAAAGTAATGTTGCAGGCATAGTGTAGTGGGTTGAATAGTGTTCTATCCAAAATTCAAGTCTACCCAGAACCTCAGAATATGACCTTATTTGGAAATAGGGTTTTGCAATGTAATCAGTTAAGGGTTGAGAAGAAATTCTTGGTTAGGGTGGGCTTTAAATCCATTAAGAGTGTCGTTGTTAAGAGACAGAAAAGGGTACACAGCAACACAGAGAAGTTCATGTGAAGACGGAGGCAGAGACTGGAGTGATGCAGCTATAAGACAAGGACCACCAAGGTGAGCTGGGAACCAAGGATAGCTAGAGGCAGGGACCGATTCTTCCCTAGAGCCTGAAGAAGGAGCATGGTGCTGGTAACACATAGATTTTGGACTTTTAGTATGCAGAAGCGTGACAGAATAAATTTCTGTTGTTTTTAAGCCACCAAGTTTTGGTAATTTGATAAAGAAGCCCTAGGAAACTAAAATAGTGCCACCAGGTTAACCAAGGAGGTAAAGTGAAAATGAGAAAAATAGAAAAAGAAACTAATTAAATATAGAAGTTTAGCTGCCAAATTAACTATAATTCCTCATTTCATAAAAAATTTTTGGATAATTTACTTTTACTTCCAGTAAGGTCTTTATGAGGTGGCCCAAACGAACATTAAGGCCTTAACTTTTACATAAGGCTATTGATTTCAGTTCCTTAGGCAGACTAAAAAATAGACATCAGACTTCAATAAATTCAGTTACGTCATAGTGAAAGGGATGAGAATTAAGAGAACACATATTAGGGAAAAAGACTCCACAGAAGCACAAAAGAAGCCACAATATATTATTTATATTAAATAAGACACTGTCCTTAGAATAAATAGAAAGATTTCAGTGGATGCATTTTAGAATTACTTGGGTAGAATAATTGTTACAAGTCTTAGTTCTTAAACAAATATTACACTAGCACCTTACTTCTATGAAATAAATGATTTGGGAAACTGCAAACATCAAAGAGATGGTAACTGTAATAAATCTTACATTGTAGAGAGTGACTAATACATTTCTACAAGGGCAGGATCTTTGTTTTATTGACTAATGTATCTCCAGTGCCTAGAACAGTACCTGGCCCATGGTAGTGCTCAAGAGGTATTTGATGAATGAATATATCATGATTAGATGAATCAAGGGCCCCCACTTTCTTCTAAAGACTAGGATAATATAATCCTTGTAAAGTTTATTAGTTAAGATCTCAGTATAAGCTGAAACTGTCCAAAATATTAGCATTAAAATCTGTTCACTTGGGGGTATGTGCTATTTCTGGAATTTAGATCTACTGAAATCAAAATTTATTACACACAAAAAAAAGTGTACTCAGGAAATATGGCTTGGAGGATAACTAAAAATTTACCTTTTCCTTTAGCTTTTCTTCAACTTCTGCCAGTTTCTCACAGGTCCTAGAAAGCTCCTCCTCTTTTTTTCTGGTAAGGTTCTTTCCTTGGGCAACTATCTCTTGCTGCTTTTTAAGTTCATCACCAAGAATTCTTAATTCTTCCTGGTTTTCAATGGTCTAGAAATTTTAAAAAAGTTGAGATTAAAATAAATGATACTAGCTTACATTTATGAAATCAGGTAAAAATAATCAGCATTTACCTCAGTCCAAGAATGAAGAAATTATGACAAACTGTATTGGAAAAGACTAGTTTAAAAAAGAAAGTGAGTCTTTAATCACAGATGCCAAGAATGTGCTTTTTTAATGCTATGATGATTTCTGATGATGAAGTACATACCCAAAGAAACACTAAAATTAAAAAACACCAATAATATGAAATGTTGAAGATGTGGAGCCATCAGAATTCTCTTAATTTGCTGAGAATGTAAAATGGTACATCTACTTTGGAAATCAGTCTAGAAAATTCTTATTAAGTTAAATATACACCTCTCTATGACCCAGCAATTCCATTCAGATACTCACTCAAGAGAAATAAAAATTATGTGTTCATAAAAGGATTTCTAGAAGAATGTTTACAGCAGTTTTATTCAAAATAGCCAAATAGTGGAGATAACTTTTCATCAACAGGAGAGAGGCTAAACACACTGTGGCTTATGTGTGTATAATGGAATACTACACAACAATAAAAAGGAGGTACAATGGAATACTACGGAACAATAAAAAGGAGGGTAGAAATAAATAAGACACAAAAGAGCACATGCTGTACAAATCTATTTGTATAAAGTTTTAGAAGAGACAAAGTGACTAAGGTGAAAAACAACAGGACAGTGACTATAGGGGGCAGAGGACTGACTGGGTTGGGATATGAGGGAGCTTTCTGCAGGAATGGAAATGTTTTATATCTTAACTGGGGTGGAGAAAACAAAATAGAGACATTTGTCAAAAGTCACCTGACTATACACTTGTATCAAATACATTTATTGCATGTAAATTAGAACTCAAAAAGTTATAAACATCTAAACATACAAAGATAAAAACACCTTGCCAAGTATACCATGCTAAATCCTACCATTTCAATGTTTTCCATTAGGTCAGTCTTTAGTTGCTCCTTTTCTGCTGTGATAGTCTCTAGCATTTCTTGCAGTTCATTTTTCTCCTGTATTAAAGAAATTATCTTCTTCTGTTCCTCAACTAGTTCATTATCCTCAACATCTGCAATCAATAATTGGGTTTTTTTGGCTTCCAAATTCTGTTTTTTATCTATGTCAACAATCTAAAATATAAATACATTGAAGGAGAATTCCTTAGTTAATAACAACTTTAATAATAATAAATCGCCAATGCTGATATTACTTATTATGGGTCCAGCACTATTTTCATCTATTGTCACATGAAACCTTCACTATTGCCTTTGTAGGTAGGTACTGTTCTTATCTCTATTTGACAGACAAGGAAATTAAGTCTCTGAGAGGACAGGTGACTTGCAAAGGTCACTCAGAGAGGTACAGCCAAGGTTTTGAACCCAAATGATCTGGCTCCAGAATTTGAGCTCTTGTGCCTGTTCAATTTTAAGAACTATCTGATCAGCTACAGATATTTAACAGTAAGCTTCATGTTTGATGGGTTATGAAAGAGTAAACCACCTTGAACTCTACACTTAATTTCTTGTCTGTAAAAATGGGAAATCATTCCCTCATTTCCAACATCAACAAATGTTTGTTTTCAGAGGCAGTTATATGCACAAAAGACTGACATTTTATTATATGTGAGAGCAAAATAATTTTGATAAATGTATTTCATATTACAGCAGTTTAATTAATCTTTTTAAATATATCCTTTCTATATACTTAAGAAAAGCATGTTATATAATATTTATCCATAAATAAGTCTTAGCCAAAGGTAATTAATGGTATGAACTCCTTGATGAGGGGAGACAAAGACTGACATCATAATTGTTGGTATGAGATTACAGTATCAGTGTATAGTCTTGCCCTAGCCCAGTAAATACATTCAGCTTTATATTGGCCACATATGTTTTAAAAAGTTTTTATAATAACATAAAATTACATTAAAAAAAAGAAAAAAAAATTAAAGAGAAAAAAAAATCATCCAATGTCACACAATCCTATTAGAATTCTGGAATATTCCTTCCAGAGATTTTTCCACTAAGATGTTTTTTTAAACATAGCAATTATGATTAATTTATATTTATAGGATTCTTTTTAGCTCTTCATTTCCATTTAGATCATATGCATTTCCTATGCTGTTATGTAATCATCAAATTATTATTTTCAGTGATTGCTTGATTCCTTAGAGTGGATACAGGCAAACCATACTTTAACTACCCTTTTTTCTGTTGGCAATATGCATGAGTTTCTAACAATAATGAGCACAGAGCAAATTACATGAGAAGTTAAGCTGCATGGGGAATGTGTAGTCATTGGGACTTGTTTATCAGATACTGTAGTTCAGAATCTTGCATCTTACTCCTAAATATAGGAATATACACCAACACAAAGCTGACTGAGACAAAAGTATTCTGTAATGATACCCATGGTACCTTTCAAAACTGAACTCATTCTAGAAAGCATTTCAGCTAACCTGGTTATGGGTAATATCTAATAGATCTGATTATTTAAAAAAAGAAAAACAATTATATCCTTTATATGAGAATTAGATTCCTAATCATAAGGTTAAAATTTTCCATTGAGACACCAGAGAAACTGTATTTTCAGAGAGAGACACATCAAGCAGGACTGATAATGGGCAATCCTAGGGGATTCATGACAGACCTACTAAGGTAGCACTCTGGTGCCCACATGAGCCCCTGGGAATTCCCAGACCTACTCTGTTATCCACATGGGTGATTTCAGCATGAGCATGACATCACAAGACCAAGCTGATTTCAGCCTTCCATCCCAGATTTCAGAAACCCTAATGGAAAGAATGGCCCCCAAGAATCCCTAGTCAGACCTTTTATCAACATAGATGATTCTTGCATGAACTTAAAACCAGCTGGTTTCAGTGAGTATAATTGTCCTTTTACCTCGTGCCTCTGTTACTGCCCATTTCTCATGCGGCCCTATGATTGTATTTTGCGTTTGTTTAAAAGCAACTATTGATTACTGCATCTTATTTTCAAAAATTTATTTAAAAAACCTTCCCCTCTAAAGTGAAAGTTATAAATTTCAAATTAAGGTCTTGCCAAAATGAGTAAATAATTATCACAGCCCTACCTACTACTCCAAGGTAAACAGACAAAATAGTATTAGAAATAAAGTAATGTTGCAGGCATAGTGTAGTGGGTTGAATAGTGTTCTATCCAAAATTCAAGTCTACCCAGAACCTCAGAATATGACCTTATTTGGAAATAGGGTTTTGCAATGTAATCAGTTAAGGGTTGAGAAGAAATTCTTGGTTAGGGTGGGCTTTAAATCCATTAAGAGTGTCGTTGTTAAGAGACAGAAAAGGGTACACAGCAACACAGAGAAGTTCATGTGAAGACGGAGGCAGAGACTGGAGTGATGCAGCTATAAGACAAGGACCACCAAGGTGAGCTGGGAACCAAGGATAGCTAGAGGCAGGGACCGATTCTTCCCTAGAGCCTGAAGAAGGAGCATGGTGCTGGTAACACATAGATTTTGGACTTTTAGTATGCAGAAACGTGACAGAATAAATTTCTGTTGTTTTTAAGCCACCAAGTTTTGGTAATTTGATAAAGAAGCCCTAGGAAACTAAAATAGTGCCACCAGGTTAACCAAGGAGGTAAAGTGAAAATGAGAAAAATAGAAAAAGAAACTAATTAAATATAGAAGTTTAGCTGCCAAATTAACTATAATTCCTCATTTCATAAAAAATTTTTGGATAATTTACTTTTACTTCCAGTAAGGTCTTTATGAGGTGGCCCAAACGAACATTAAGGCCTTAACTTTTACATAAGGCTATTGATTTCAGTTCCTTAGGCAGACTAAAAAATAGACATCAGACTTCAATAAATTCAGTTACGTCATAGTGAAAGGGATGAGAATTAAGAGAACACATATTAGGGAAAAAGACTCCACAGAAGCACAAAAGAAGCCACAATATATTATTTATATTAAATAAGACACTGTCCTTAGAATAAATAGAAAGATTTCAGTGGATGCATTTTAGAATTACTTGGGTAGAATAATTGTTACAAGTCTTAGTTCTTAAACAAATATTACACTAGCACCTTACTTCTATGAAATAAATGATTTGGGAAACTGCAAACATCAAAGAGATGGTAACTGTAATAAATCTTACATTGTAGAGAGTGACTAATACATTTCTACAAGGGCAGGATCTTTGTTTTATTGACTAATGTATCTCCAGTGCCTAGAACAGTACCTGGCCCATGGTAGTGCTCAAGAGGTATTTGATGAATGAATATATCATGATTAGATGAATCAAGGGCCCCCACTTTCTTCTAAAGACTAGGATAATATAATCCTTGTAAAGTTTATTAGTTAAGATCTCAGTATAAGCTGAAACTGTCCAAAATATTAGCATTAAAATCTGTTCACTTGGGGGTATGTGCTATTTCTGGAATTTAGATCTACTGAAATCAAAATTTATTACACACAAAAAAAAGTGTACTCAGGAAATATGGCTTGGAGGATAACTAAAAATTTACCTTTTCCTTTAGCTTTTCTTCAACTTCTGCCAGTTTCTCACAGGTCCTAGAAAGCTCCTCCTCTTTTTTTCTGGTAAGGTTCTTTCCTTGGGCAACTATCTCTTGCTGCTTTTTAAGTTCATCACCAAGAATTCTTAATTCTTCCTGGTTTTCAATGGTCTAGAAATTTTAAAAAAGTTGAGATTAAAATAAATGATACTAGCTTACATTTATGAAATCAGGTAAAAATAATCAGCATTTACCTCAGTCCAAGAATGAAGAAATTATGACAAACTGTATTGGAAAAGACTAGTTTAAAAAAGAAAGTGAGTCTTTAATCACAGATGCCAAGAATGTGCTTTTTTAATGCTATGATGATTTCTGATGATGAAGTACATACCCAAAGAAACACTAAAATTAAAAAACACCAATAATATGAAATGTTGAAGATGTGGAGCCATCAGAATTCTCTTAATTTGCTGAGAATGTAAAATGGTACATCTACTTTGGAAATCAGTCTAGAAAATTCTTATTAAGTTAAATATACACCTCTCTATGACCCAGCAATTCCATTCAGATACTCACTCAAGAGAAATAAAAATTATGTGTTCATAAAAGGATTTCTAGAAGAATGTTTACAGCAGTTTTATTCAAAATAGCCAAATAGTGGAGATAACTTTTCATCAACAGGAGAGAGGCTAAACACACTGTGGCTTATGTGTGTATAATGGAATACTACACAACAATAAAAAGGAGGTACAATGGAATACTACGGAACAATAAAAAGGAGGGTAGAAATAAATAAGACACAAAAGAGCACATGCTGTACAAATCTATTTGTATAAAGTTTTAGAAGAGACAAAGTGACTAAGGTGAAAAACAACAGGACAGTGACTATAGGGGGCAGAGGACTGACTGGGTTGGGATATGAGGGAGCTTTCTGCAGGAATGGAAATGTTTTATATCTTAACTGGGGTGGAGAAAACAAAATAGAGACATTTGTCAAAAGTCACCTGACTATACACTTGTATCAAATACATTTATTGCATGTAAATTAGAACTCAAAAAGTTATAAACATCTAAACATACAAAGATAAAAACACCTTGCCAAGTATACCATGCTAAATCCTACCATTTCAATGTTTTCCATTAGGTCAGTCTTTAGTTGCTCCTTTTCTGCTGTGATAGTCTCTAGCATTTCTTGCAGTTCATTTTTCTCCTGTATTAAAGAAATTATCTTCTTCTGTTCCTCAACTAGTTCATTATCCTCAACATCTGCAATCAATAATTGGGTTTTTTTGGCTTCCAAATTCTGTTTTTTATCTATGTCAACAATCTAAAATATAAATACATTGAAGGAGAATTCCTTAGTTAATAACAACTTTAATAATAATAAATCGCCAATGCTGATATTACTTATTATGGGTCCAGCACTATTTTCATCTATTGTCACATGAAACCTTCACTATTGCCTTTGTAGGTAGGTACTGTTCTTATCTCTATTTGACAGACAAGGAAATTAAGTCTCTGAGAGGACAGGTGACTTGCAAAGGTCACTCAGAGAGGTACAGCCAAGGTTTTGAACCCAAATGATCTGGCTCCAGAATTTGAGCTCTTGTGCCTGTTCAATTTTAAGAACTATCTGATCAGCTACAGATATTTAACAGTAAGCTTCATGTTTGATGGGTTATGAAAGAGTAAACCACCTTGAACTCTACACTTAATTTCTTGTCTGTAAAAATGGGAAATCATTCCCTCATTTCCAACATCAACAAATGTTTGTTTTCAGAGGCAGTTATATGCACAAAAGACTGACATTTTATTATATGTGAGAGCAAAATAATTTTGATAAATGTATTTCATATTACAGCAGTTTAATTAATCTTTTTAAATATATCCTTTCTATATACTTAAGAAAAGCATGTTATATAATATTTATCCATAAATAAGTCTTAGCCAAAGGTAATTAATGGTATGAACTCCTTGATGAGGGGAGACAAAGACTGACATCATAATTGTTGGTATGAGATTACAGTATCAGTGTATAGTCTTGCCCTAGCCCAGTAAATACATTCAGCTTTATATTGGCCACATATGTTTTAAAAAGTTTTTATAATAACATAAAATTACATTAAAAAAAAGAAAAAAAAATTAAAGAGAAAAAAAAATCATCCAATGTCACACAATCCTATTAGAATTCTGGAATATTCCTTCCAGAGATTTTTCCACTAAGATGTTTTTTTAAACATAGCAATTATGATTAATTTATATTTATAGGATTCTTTTTAGCTCTTCATTTCCATTTAGATCATATGCATTTCCTATGCTGTTATGTAATCATCAAATTATTATTTTCAGTGATTGCTTGATTCCTTAGAGTGGATACAGGCAAACCATACTTTAACTACCCTTTTTTCTGTTGGCAATATGCATGAGTTTCTAACAATAATGAGCACAGAGCAAATTACATGAGAAGTTAAGCTGCATGGGGAATGTGTAGTCATTGGGACTTGTTTATCAGATACTGTAGTTCAGAATCTTGCATCTTACTCCTAAATATAGGAATATACACCAACACAAAGCTGACTGAGACAAAAGTATTCTGTAATGATACCCATGGTACCTTTCAAAACTGAACTCATTCTAGAAAGCATTTCAGCTAACCTGGTTATGGGTAATATCTAATAGATCTGATTATTTAAAAAAAGAAAAACAATTATATCCTTTATATGAGAATTAGATTCCTAATCATAAGGTTAAAATTTTCCATTGAGACACCAGAGAAACTGTATTTTCAGAGAGAGACACATCAAGCAGGACTGATAATGGGCAATCCTAGGGGATTCATGACAGACCTACTAAGGTAGCACTCTGGTGCCCACATGAGCCCCTGGGAATTCCCAGACCTACTCTGTTATCCACATGGGTGATTTCAGCATGAGCATGACATCACAAGACCAAGCTGATTTCAGCCTTCCATCCCAGATTTCAGAAACCCTAATGGAAAGAATGGCCCCCAAGAATCCCTAGTCAGACCTTTTATCAACATAGATGATTCTTGCATGAACTTAAAACCAGCTGGTTTCAGTGAGTATAATTGTCCTTTTACCTCGTGCCTCTGTTACTGCCCATTTCTCATGCGGCCCTATGATTGTATTTTGCGTTTGTTTAAAAGCAACTATTGATTACTGCATCTTATTTTCAAAAATTTATTTAAAAAACCTTCCCCTCTAAAGTGAAAGTTATAAATTTCAAATTAAGGTCAAGTTCCTTTGCCTCATGGTTGATCCAAGTAATAGATAGGCTGAGAACACAAGATATAGAGCAAGTGAAAAATGTTTTTCTAGGAGAGGAGAAATGAAGTATAGGGAGAAAGGAAGAGAAAGCTCCTTTTCCAAGGCAGGACTATTGTATCCCCGAGAAAATGGGAGAAGAACCACCTCATTATGTGGAGTAATAATATATAAGTGTATATAGAGATTTATTTATATAAGTTAAATCTTACTGAATTATTCTGTAGTATACATTTGTTTTACTTAATAATACATTGTGGAGATTTTTCTGTAGTACATAATGTCCGCTTTAGAAAAATCATATGACTGTGTAAAACAATATCATTTATATACATTAACAATGAACAAGTAAAAGAGGAAATTGAGAAAAAAATCCTTTTACAATAGCATCAAAACAAATGAAACACTAAGAAATAAACTTAACCAAGGAGGTAAAGACTTGAAAACTACAAAATGTATCTGAAATAAATTAAAGATGCAAATAAATAGAAAGACATCTTATGTTCATGGATTGGAATACTTATTATTTTAAGATTCTAATACTAACCAAAGAGATCTATAAATTTAATGGAATCCTTATAAAATACTAAAGGCATTTTTCACAGATGCAAATAAATGCAAAATCCACACTAAAATTCATATGGAGACTCAAGGGACTCCACAGAGCCAAAACCATCTTGAAAAAGAAGAAAGTTGGAGGTCTTGACACTTTCTGATTTAGAAAGTTACTACAAAGTTACAGTAATCAAAACAGTGTAGTACTGGTACAAAGACAGACACATAGACCAATGGGATAGAGAACCCAGAAACATTTACGGTCAAATGACCTTTGACTAGTATGCCAAGATTATTCAATGGGGAATGGGCAGTGTCCTCAACAAATAGTATTGGGAAAACTGGGTACCTCATGCAGAAGAATGAAGTTGGGCCCTAACTTTACAACACATACAAAAATTAACCAAAAATGGAAAGATGGCGGCATGATAGGAGAGACAGAGGCTTCCTCCTAAAACTGGATACAATTAGAAAATTAAATTGGCGCAACTAATCCTGAGAGAGCAACAGGAAAGAGGACGCATCAGACTGCACACACCTAGAGAAAAGAGCAGACCTCACCGAACAGGGTAACGTACCAGAGCTGTGGCTCCCCGGGACCCGAGTCCCTCCCCCACCCCAGCTCAGCGGCGGGAGGAAGAGAAATGGAGCAGGTAGGGAGTGGAAGGCTTGGGACTGCTGAATACCTAGTTCCAGAGATATGCGCTGGGAGCACAAATCTACATTTCATGGTGCTTTCATGAGACTCACATGACTACCAGGTTGGAAAGTTAATACAGGCAGAG